ATGAATCGGAAAAAACTACCATTTTGGAAGAAAATTTTCTACCACGGCCCCGGATAGTAGAAAATGGAAATTTCCAGAAATTCTAAAATCTTGGTATGCAGTCTGGTGACATTTGGGGACCCAAATGACATTTCACCATTTTTATGAAAAAAGTCTGGCAACACTGAAAGTTATGGGGAAAAGTTTTTTTTGCGACATGGGTGTCTTTAAAGTTAGTGACAGACAGAAAGAATTATGGCAGAAAAAAAATAAAAATGACATTTGGTCGGATATACGACCCAGATTATGGGAAAAATCCGAAATGTCAAAAAATCAAGATGGCGGCGGCGTGGGCGGCCATTTTGTAAAAAGTTGAAAATTTCGAAATTTTGGAATTCATTTTTCGAGTAGTTGGCAACATTTTGGAAAGTCGAGTTGTATAGGGCGGTTGTGTCTTTTGTCGAGAGGTTTCGCTTGGGTGAAGAAATTTCTCCAGTGTTGCCATACCTTAGGAGATTTGGTCCAAAAATGTCGAAAGTAGAAATAACAACTTCCGGTCAAAAATTTGGACGATGCCTCCTGCAAAGGGGTCGTGCAAATGACATTTGACCATTTTCATCTCGATCACCTGGCAACACTGGGAGCTACGGGGAAAAGTATTTTTTTCGACATGGGTGTCTTTAAAGTTAAGGACGGACAGAAGGAGATATGGCAGAAAAAATCCAAAAATGGGGTTTGGTTGGTTATACGACCCAGACTATGGGAAAAATCCGAAATGTCAGAAAATCAAGATGGCGGCTGAGTTGGCGGCCATTTTGTAAAAAGTTTCAGATTTTCGATTTTTCAAATGCGTTTTTCGGACAGTTGGCAACATTTGGGAAAGTCGACTTGTATGTGGCGATTATGTAGTTCGTCAAGGAGTATCGTTTGGAAAAACAATGATTCCCAGTGTTGCCATACTTTAAGAGTTTTGGTCGAAAAATGTAAAAAATGGAAATAACGACTTTCGGTCAAAAATTTGGATGACGCCTCCTGCAAATAGGTTAAACTAATGACATTTGACTATTTTTATCTCGATCATCTGGCAACACTGGGAGTTAGGGGAACTCAAAGTTTTGGGACAAGGGTGATTTTAAGGAATTGTTTCACGAAATAGGGTGAACTTAGAAAAAAAGTAAAAATAGGGTTCGGCGCGGAAAATGGTCCAGATTAAGGAAAAAATGCAAAATTTTGGAAATCCAAGATGGCCGCCAAGCGTTCACCCGTTTTCCTAAAGGAACTAAATTCTCCATACAAATTGTATGCAGGGGGGCTTAGCTAACGTAGAAAAAGGCGAGGCCGAAGGCCGAGCGATAGTTTAAAGCCTGTGAGTCGCCATATATTTATTTTTAATGCGTCAAAAAAGCACAAGAGCACAGTGACAGACAATAAACACCCCCTGTAATTTTTGCGAGGCCGAAGGCCGAGCTCCGAATGCGAGGCCGCAGGCCGAGCGCCGCGTAGGGCGAAGCCCGGAGCGGCCAGCATCGCAGATCTAGCTTTTGTAGCCCGCGTAGCGGGCGACCAAAGCTAGTTGTATGTTATAAAACCGATAGTACTTTTAAAAGTACTAATAATGAAACATTAAATAAAATTAAAATACTTGTGCCTTTTCAGTTACATTTATTTATATCATTATTGTATCTTAATGTAGTATTAATTTATTAAGGAGGTTACATTTATGTTTTACTTTAAAGTATAAAATACAATTTATTTACTTTTTCTTTTTAAAGTCTGTAATACCGAATGTTCTTTTAAGAGAAAACATTTTTTTATTATTTTTTACCTAAAATAAGCTCTATGCACTATTATATAGGGTCCCTGAAAATATGGGTGCAAAAGAAAATCTCTAACATAGAAAATTTTTTACTCGAAGTGCTCGGCGTTTACGACTTCAAATTGTTCGTTCTTCTGAAAGCACATTCGGCGATACTTAGAAGTCGACAAAATTTGCTCTTGGGTCTTACGAGGTTATGAGTTAAAATATACTCTATAATCCAACAACCATGCAGCAACTGAAGCTGAACATTCATCATGAAATCGAATCTATTTCGAGGTAACTCAAACAAAAGCTTTTCATAATTTTGATGTCAGATTGGAAGAAAAGTCCGTAAAGATGTTATGCGAAAGTCTAGGTATTTTTTCATATTTTATCATCATACTTATTCAATCGTGAGTGCAATTTGTAGGTAATAATTTCATACAACGGTGATTATAAATATATGGTAATTAGTACGGGACTATTCCCACCTCTCGTTCCCACCACTGCAACTCCTGTGTAGCCAGGATCTACAGCTTGACCGCCACAAAAACCCAACCAATGAAGGTCAAGTTTGTCCCGGGGGAAAGTTAAACTGTCATTGGACCCGCAACGAAATTAATCAGAAGAACATAGGAGGAGTTCGAAATTAAGGTTCGACTTCCCTCCATTGCAAAGCGGATGACAGGTGACAAACAAAGGTTTAAAACCTTTAAGAAAAAGATTATGCACCACGGACAATAAATTAAATTAAGGGGGCCTATCTTATGAGCAATTAGCAACTACCTGCCAATAATATTTTTCACAAAATCGCTTAAAAGCACGGAAATTTTTCCTTGTCGCGACAAGATCGGTGTAATAAATTGCGGAAACAGATGTATGTTGTATTGAATTAAGCATTATATCACGTTCATGTTTCCAAAGATCACACTCCCACAAGATATGATGGGCAGACTGCTCATGACTGACATCATCAGTGGAACACTCGCAAAAAGGAGACGGAACTAGTTTGAATTCGTGAAGTTTATGTTTAAAGTTGCCATGTCCCGTGAGGAACTGCGACGAGCAATGGTCGATTTCTAACCATCGCCTAGTTAGACGTTCGCGTACATTCGGGAAGAATTTATATAAGTGACGTCCTTTGACTGACGTATCCCATCTTTTTTGCCATTCATTAAGTAAATCTTCTTCAACGACTTCTCGGGAATCAAATCGCACCCTTAGAATGAAAGTGACTTAACTCAAAATTCCTGTTACTCTCGATTTCACCATAAACTGACCTTATAAAGCATGCTCTATATCCCTATATAAATAAAGTGACCTATCTCTTAGTAAAAGCAGAGCAACGCATACTTCGGTCTCTTTCACTTGTCCCGCTTTTCATGTATGCATATTGTGTGAAAGAGGCAGAACTAGTTTTACGTCGGCGGTGCTTGCGAGTGTACGTGTAAAACATCGGCGGATCTCGAATTGTATCTGTTTATTACAAAAATACTGTAAAGGTAAGTTCATCATTTTTTTGTCATAAAGTGACCTTTTAATAAATAGGTCTGTATTTAAACTAAATATGTTAGAGTATTCAGTGTTCATTTATGGATTCGGTCTGTTTAGTTAAAAATATAAATGAAGGATACACGACACTTTTACGAATAGGACTATTTATGACTGAACTAACTTAATTTAGTTTTATGGTAATTAGTACATGGAAATTATAAAACGATAGATTTTCTTCAAAATTTCCAAAATCTGCAGGGTATGCAAATACTGTCTTACTACAATGTACGGAGGCCAAAGTAATGTTTCTATGTACACTAACAACGTGGATTTACCTTTATAAATCTAGTATAAAAATAAGGACATGGTAATTAGAAAAATTGAAAACCAAAGATATGGTAATTATACTCTTACGCAATTTATCGACGGTTACGCCAACGCAATAGACATCCACTTGCTAACAGGTCAAGGCACTAACTAAGGGCTAGCGCCGCGTGCGGTAATGATGTGTCAAATACTATTACTTAGGCTAGTATGACCACGAACAGAAAACGTAACGGTAATTATGACTTTAGCTCGGACAAGCGGTTTTTTAAATATAATTATTAACAGAATGGTTCTATTGAATAGGTAGATATTTTTCCGAGCATAAGAGAATCTTATAAACTCTTTAAAATGTTGAATGGAGTAAATCAAATCTATACGACATAAAAATTACAGCCAACTTTTAACATTAAGTCGGTGTGCGGACGCGTCACGGTAATTATAGAACAGAGGTTCATGAAATTAATTTAGCCACTTATACTTAAAATAGAGGCCTATGATTTTATGCACAACTGGATAGGGTTGTTAAGTAACATATAAAAATACTTGCATGTCTCTAATTTGTCATTTTTAAGGATTAAACAGCCCGGACACGTAAAAACTAGCTAATCTGAGAATGGCCGTCCCACATAACCCACTGGCCGACCCCATCGACCAGTGGGTATGCGCAAAGCATTTCCCGACGTAAAAAAAGGATTTGCGCTACGTTTGGTAGGTTCTATAGGATTTCACTGGACACTTCAAGACTGACACTTCAATAGTGTTCGTTCGTCTAATCCGGACAACGTTTTTCAACATACTGGCTAGGTTCTTAGTAATTAAGATATAGACAGAGGTCTACAATCATGATTCAGTGGCGCTTACTTACTTAAGTAAGTTTAACATTGTATCAACCTACCTTTAATTAAAGCTTAAAACAATGAATCAGTAAAAATTACAGCTATTAAAGCCAGATTTAAATACTAATTGGACTGATCGGAAGACGTAGTGCATCTAGACAAGCCTCCATCTTGGTGGACCGACGATATGGTGAAGATCGCGAGGAGTACCGAATGCGGACAGCTGGACCAATCGAAGCGGAAATCCTTGGAGGATCATGGCCTTTGTCCAGTGCATATTATGACTATGTATTTTTAAAGACTGTACCCTTGAAAAGGAGGCGGACAATAGTGACTGAGTTTCTTGCGCTGCTTCTTCTCAGCACTGGCCCATTTATTGTCCCGAAGCAGTGGTAGGGTTAATACTGGGATGTGTAAAAGTGCTTTTAAAAGCCTACCTACTTGCAAAAATAAATGTGTTTTGTGAGCTTTTTTTATGAGTTTTATGAGTGGACGTCTTTTAGTTAACCAACTAAACGCTAATCATGAAGAATAGTTTTATGAAACGAAATTCTTTGTTTTTTCAGAATTGATTGTAGTATTCAAAGAGCTGATGGTGTATGGAGACGTATGCAAGTTCTGGCTGGGCCCAGACCTGAACTTTGTAGTCAGCAATCCAGATGACTTGAAAGTAAGTTTTATTTAAGAGTTTTTATCACTCTTTAGATAATAGACTAGCGGCCGCCCGCGACTTCGTACGCGTGGATCCCGTTTATCTCCTTAGGAGTTGAATTTTGCTAAGTCCCGTCTTAGTGAGCACCTACGTTCTAAAAGTAACCCCCATGCAAATTTTAGATTCCTAGCACTTGTACTTTCTGACATTTCGTCATGAGTAAGTCAAGCAATCAGTGACCTTTCGCTTTTATAGATATAGACCTACCACTATTCTGCTTTCCCAAGTCATATGATTTTAAGAAAAATCTACTATTTATTTTCAGGTTCTTCTTAGCAACTCCAAAAACAGCACAAAAGGGCCTCAGTATAAATACATGGCAGACGTGCTTGGAGGAGGTATATTGAGCGGTTCAGGTACGAATTAATTCTTACTTGTCGGAAATATATGGAACCTTCTGCACACGACTACCTATCGCCCAATATTCACAAACGAAGCAGAAAATCGAACACACAGCGTTGAATAGAGCTCTGTGATTGGTTCATATGTCACCCATTGTGTCCACGCGCACTGTGAGACCTTATAGTAATGTTTGTGTAAAGGTACGGGCGTAAGGCTCTAACTAAATGATTCCTTAGTCCCTTGCGTACATACGTAACTTAGAAAATTGAAAAAAAACATCTTGCAGACCTTTTGGGGTTAATTACAGGTCCAGCCTGGAGAAAGCACCGCAAGATAGCCAACCCCAACTACGGCAAGCGAGCGACCGAGAGCTACAGTGACGTGTTCAACAAGGAGGTGGACCTGTTGATGGAGAAATACCGGTCGCTGCAGAATAAGCACATCGACATATACCACTACATCGTGAGGACCACCAGCTACTCTGTCTGCCGTGAGATAATCCCTACTTTCTCATACTTTAGCTTGAAAAAGGGTGTCACCAAAAATGGCAAATTACCAAGGGCTTTTTAAGAAATAAGTTTCCTAAAACAGTTTAAAGGAACTCCTGGAACAATCAATTGTACTAGGTCCATTCTCGCTACAAATTCGAGGAGTGAAAATTCCAATTTGATTATTAACATAAGAATGCAATGATTTCGTTGTAGATACGATACTTGATATCTGTAAAGATATTGATAAAATTATGTTCTTTTCTAGAGACGCTCATGGGCTTGAGTAAAGAGCAAACCATGAAACTGCCGTATATTGAAGGAGTTATAGACGAAACACCAAGGTAATCTTCAATTTCCTATAGGAAATCATTACAATTTTGCACCTTCAATCAATTTTTGCAGTCAAAGCTCACTAAAGAAACACATTTACGATATCAGGTTTTTAACACGCTTTTATTAGATCGACTTGTAAAGAACGAAATAATTTTTAAATAAGAGTTTTAAGTCACGAATCTTGCAAATAAATTGTTCCTAAAAATGTATGAATTTTAAAATATTTTTCACAGATTATACGACATAGTATTCGAAAGGATGACGAAATGGTACCTCCAGATCGACCCTGTGTTCTGGATGAGCAAATACTTCAAACAACAAAACCACTTTGTCGATATGATAACAGAATTTAGTAAACAGATCATCAAACACAGACTGGAACACCTGAAGACAATAGGAGAGCACTACAAGACGGATCTGATGAACACCGAAGAGGATTCTTTGAAGAATACCCAATTGAGTGTTATTGATAGGTTCTTACTTTCAGGAGAATTGGAAGGGGAGGAGCTGTTGAAAGAAACTTTTACAATATTTACGTCGGTAAGTGATGATAATCAAGTCCTACTTTCACATGTCGTTGAAATATTGAATGCTTTTTGGCTGTACCAGTACTGTGTCGGAATGACCTTTAGGCAGTCGCTCTTGGTTAATAACCAACTCAATGTTAATAACTGAGGTACTAATGCTGTGCTAGTGTTTGATGAAAAAGACTAATCTCAAGAAATTGAATTTTATCTTTGTTTTAGAGCCAAGAGGCATCAGCTAAGATAGCATCGTTCATACTCCTCATGATGGCGTATCACCCACATTTCCAGGTAAATAGAATGTATCTGATACAATTATGTAAAGCAGTGATAAGAAAGGTAGAGTCACATTGACATAAACTGAGGTTTACGATCAAACATAAAAATACAAAGAAAAAAATTACATTTTTAACATCGCAAAGCACTTCTTCCCTAGAGATTTTCATTTACAGGAGAGACTGTACAAAGAAATAAAGAGCGTGATAGGCGACTCCGACAGGCCTGTCACTGATGAAGACCTGAAGCAAATGCCGTATCTGGAGATGGTGTTCAAGGAGGTGCTGCGGCTGTTCCCCATAGGAGCCATCTTACAGAGGAGCGTCACTGAAGATATTGTCATAAGTAAGGAACATTTTAATAGGTTAAGGTGAAAAATTATACATGCGCCACGAGATGGACGGAATTCACCATTAAATATCCTCATAGACTGCGGCGGACTCTAAATGCGCAAGCGTTGCTTTTTGCTCACGGGAAGTAAGACATAAAAGCTGCACTAAATACCTTATAGATGCAAGGCTTGGAGGCGTTTTGTAATATAATAGCGATCACAATACATAAATCAAAACCGGTGTACATTTAGAACTCCAGTGAACTATAGAACAGCCGCTCGACTTAAAAAAAATATCGGTATCTGCCTAGCTGCTTGTATTGCTTAGGTACCTATGTGATACGCACTAACTTTTACTCGAAGTTAAAATATTAATAATAAACCTAGGAAACGAATTATTTAAAAACCCATTCACGACACTTTTGATGATATCGTCGGTTCACCTTGTGGGTGGACGTCCCACGCTGCGTTTTGCGTGGACCGACGACATCATAAAGTTTGCGCTGGACGCAGGCCGCTACCAACCAATCAACATGGAAAGCATTGGGGGAGGCCTATGTTCAGCAGTGGACGTCCTATGGCTGAAATGATGATGATGATGATGATGGTGATTCATGACACGACTTTAATCGTTTTCAGAATCGGGCACAATACCAGCCGGCAGTTCGCTAACGATCCCGATCTACCACCTGCACCGGGACCCCCGGTTCTGGGAGAACCCCGATGCCTTTGATCCTGACAGGTTCAACCCGGAGAACACCAAGAAACGGCACCCTAACTGCTACATACCCTTCAGCTTGGGACCTATGGATTGCCTGGGTAAATGATAAATCTCTTTTTATCCTTGGGCCCTATTAGAGCCTCTAACATGCTCTGATGATCGGTGGAAGTGAGTAGTTATTATGATTGGGGTGACATTCAAAAACCAATTCTTGAGTAGGTACAAACGGTGTGCTAGGAAAGCGTCCATTTAGATAGAGTGAGCAAGTTGCTGGCAGAAACTGGATGGATGTGACAAGCCAGGTAAAAACACGTATTTAAGATGTCCTATGTCCATCAGTGAATCCATCACTTAGATAATGATGATAATGTTAATGTTAATGCAACTACATATTTCGTAAACCGTCAAGAGCCCCATAATGAATAAATGCTTACCAACCAACTCAGTAGGTCTACTTAGTCAAGTGTCTCTTTTTGATCGAATCCATAAAAACTATAAAAAAACGCCGGAGCTAAGGCCTTTAGACATTGCAACTTTTACGACTGTCACGTTTTGCCACTCGTCTAGGGGGGGTAAAGAAGGAAGTATATTATTTTTAACATGAGTTTTTTAAAAGTCATTGTCTTACGTTAACGTATTTACACACGTACCTACCTACTTATTAATATTCCATTGCATAATGATGTTAGTACCTAGGTACATAGTTTCTTGACTTTTTTACAATAGGTAGGTACATTTTTAAAAACTGTAAAAGGTTCATCATTATTTATACAACACCTATTAACTTTGTTTGTACCTAATTGTTGAGCTGCTTGAGCTGAGTACTTAAGTTTTCTCAACATCTGTCCAGAGTTTCTTTCATTCATGATAAAGGATGAAAGTTTTCCATCCATGAAAATTTTATTACCATACCATCAAACCATATTTCTTTACTATTTTGCGCAATGCAGTTTAACAAAAATTCAACAATAATAACATTGTGTTAGATCTTAATGTATCAGAAACATTCGCGTAAATAAAGTTAATATAATATGTACCTACCTAATTTAAATAGAACCATTGTTATTTACTTGTGTTTTGTTCCAGGTCGGTACTTTGGGACGAAGTTGATAAAGACTCTGTGCGTGAGAGTCCTGAGGGAGTTCGAAGTGACCACCTCTGAAACCTACGAAGACCTGCGAGTCATAATCGCGATATCGGTTGCCTCTGTCAATGGGTTCTCTGCAGTGCTAAAGCCGAGAACAGCTAAATAAATTGTAATAATGACTGAAATAAAGAAATGTTGTTTTTTTTCTGAATTCAAATTTTACTTAAGTAGCTACTTATTTACACATGAGTCTGTGTGAGTTGTGATTGTGAGTGTCTTCGCCTCAACTTTCGTTGCGCGAACTATAGGTACTTTTCAGGGCACCTTATTAGACTTCCACATTTTCATTAGCTGGCCAAATCTACCACCAGAACCACTGGGAGAACAATTATATCGGCGTGTGCTGATTACTTAGTGCTGGAAGAAACTCAGTCACCAATATCATACACCATACACACACGCCTCATAATTTACTACAGGACATTAATTATAGAGTTTAATCTAATTTAAAAAGTTAGGTAGGTAGGTACTTACCTAGGTACTTTATTTTACGTTCGTTTCAGCCAAATGACACCCACTGCTGGATAAAGGCCTCCCCCAAGGCTTTCCAAAACGACCGGTCCTGCGTTTCTTTTCCGATGGTAATAATAATAATCAATCCATCAGGCTAAATTGGAATAATTATCACAATCACAAATTACAGCACTTATTGAGTATGAAAACTTTTTTAACACATTTAAATATTCAAAGAGGTACCTACATGCTCTCGACTTAGGAACCAATATTGAACTGACCTTAAAACTCTTAAACAATGGTAAAAAACATGAATAGAAATTATGTACCTACAAAATTGTGAAATATGGTAAGTAGGTATTGTCACGGTAATACTATCTATACAGTATTCCAACTCGGCCATATTTTTGAAATAAATGTCAACAGCCGCGTGGAACGTCACCGTATGACAACATGCGATAGGGCTGCCCACTTGCAGACCCTATTTTCATTACATCTGCCTACTTTGAATTTTTATGTATTGGGAATGTATTTTGTGATTGTAATTTTCATTTTATTATGACAAACAAAATACCTTGTGAATGAAATAGGATAAAAATGCATGTTGTTTTGTGATTAGTAAAATATATTTGTGTTAAGATTTAGTAGAATAAAAAATCTTATAAATTTACGAACGTAAAATGTACGTATGCGTCCTCGACTTAGGCATACATAATGCTTGATTTTATTATACAGGGTGTTAGGTAAATGGGTTTATAAACCGACACAAGCCCATGGTATATAAAATGGTATGGTGAAGTCAGAAACTTGATATCATCTTTTTAATAATTTAAATTTTCATACTAATCCGATTTCATAAATTTTATTTTGTATGAAAATTAAAAAAAATAAAACGATGATATCACCGACTTCACCATACCATTTATATGCATAGGTTAACATTAACATGCTCAAGTGTCGGTTTATAAACCCATTTACCTAACACCCTGATAAATAGGTACTTGTTATTATTTTTATAAAAAAAAGAGCGCTTACTGTTTAAAAAACAACACATCGTCCGTTTATTACTGTGGCATACTCGCGACACCCCCGACTTTTGCATGTCGAGCGCATACCGAGATTTGAATTTCGAAGGAAAGCTCGCGTTTCATCCGTTTATATGAAGTTACAATACTGTATGATATTATTACCGTGGTATTGTTGTCACCCCAACTCATTTACCTAATTTTTAAGGCTTTCTCACATCGCACCGTAGCAGTACCACCTTTACACCTGTTGCCCAAACTTCTTTTTAGGGAAGTCTCCAAGTTAGAATAATAATTCGCGGCCCCGTTCATTAGATTCCGGAGGGTGAGGAGTCCTGAGGACACTCGGATACTTGGATTTTAGAGGGTATGTACTTATAAGTCTCGCCCTTCTAGCAGGGAGAGTCATTTCCCGAGGGAAAAAATGTAACTTGGGCTTACTAAAGAATTTAAACTGACTTCGACTGTTTCTTGATTTTAAAAGTAACTAGATGAGTGCACCCCCTAAATTCTAAAGTTGTAGACGTAACCACATGTTCTTCAACGGCCGTCATATTAAAATGCAGAGCTTTTGGCAAAAGCTATCGGACGTCTCCTTTGGCAATGAGCTGAAGAGTGAAGACCACTCGAAGAATTTTTTATGAGTCTTGAATAACGAAATAACGTTACCTATAGGGGGACCACAATTTATGATTGCAGATTCGTAGAACAGAAAAATATCAAATAAAAGATTAATAAATAAAAGAAGAACTTACGTGAAGGAATTTGTTGACTGTTTTTCATTTTATTTTATACACCGTGACTTTTTAATTACCCGAGAAAACTAAAATTTGAGTTTATAAAAATATGTACTTATATCAGTAAGTAACACTAAACACACAAATATTATAGATTTCATACAAAAATATAGTTTTATAGGACTTCAAATAAATCCTGTTAATGCACCAAAAACATGTAAACCAACTTCGTAGTATTTGTTTAATGAGAGAGAGAGAGAGACGCATGCATTCATTCCGACTCGCGTCATAGTTAGGCTGGGTTGCACCATCTTACTTTAACTTTGACAAACGTCAAAAGTCTGTCAAACTCCATACAAAAAGCACCGGTTATCGTCATAGTTACCATTAAAGTTAGGTGGTGCAACCCAGCCTTAATCTTTCCGTGGATTTTGGTTTCGTTAATGTTGAAATGATAATGATAATGATTACTATTTGAATTAGCAGGACTTTTATGGTGCATATTTTTTTCAGAATGTTAGGGACCTTTTAAATAAATTTCTCATAAAAAAAAATTCTTTTTTATTCGCCAAATTCGATGTATATCGATATCTGAGTATGTTAGTTAATTTTCTCGGGTAATTAAAAATTCACGGTGTATTTCGACAGTTAACTTCATTGAACACACGTAAATCAAACATTCTGTGTTTAAAACAAAAGTCCCATCGTGATGATGTCACCCTACTAAAATTACACTGTGAATACACCTGTCATAGTTGTCAGCTTGCTGTCATTATTGTCAAAAACGGTGGTATCGAGAGAGGTTACCTTGCTATCCTAAAATCAATTAAATTTTAATATAAAATTATTAACTAATGCCACAAAGTATTACCAGTAAACTGACTGTATTAAGTTTTCATTGATCTGAAATGGCTACGTGGTCTAGGTTCCAGAAAATAGCGATCATAAGTTTAGGTGCTGTTGGCGGTGGTTTTGCCTATTATCAAATAAACAGTACAAGGAGTGATAAAAAATTCGATGTGCAGAACTCGTGGACGACGAATTTCACGCCCAGTGTGAAATGGGACAAGAATTGGGACCAGTAAGTGTAAATTTTTGGTCGCAAAGATTCTAACCAAAAAACCATGCAATTTGGCGTTGCACGTTTCTATTTATAAAATTGTTGCCGTTCCAGAAGCAATATACAATCTTATTTACACACTACATCTTCTAGAAACTGTCCTTTGATAATATAATCACGTTTCATAGATTTATCTGTTTATCAAGATAAGATCAGTATTTCTGTATATTCCAGTCGAGAGCCAGCGAGCTTAGTGAAGCCTATACGTTCCGATAAGCCCGAGGAAGAAAACAGGTACAATGAGCAATTGGAGAAGTCTAAAAGCAAAGCTGTCAGGCATTTGTTCCTCATCAGACACGGCCAGTATAACGTGGACGGTGTTACGGACAAAGAAAGGACATTGACAGAGTTAGGTAAGTCCGTAAGTCATGAAATTGAAATGTTTTATTTTATATCTATTTGGTCATGATTGGAACAACTAGACTAGATATTGTGTTACGTTTAAATCTACACTTGTAAATGATTATTTCATTATACTTTCACAGTGAAGTCTATACTTGTTTTAATACTAAAATTAAATAAATAAAATGTCTCACAATATTTCCTTCTACAATAGAATAACTTTAGTGGTACACACACCACCTGATAAGAAAAGCAATTACAAATACTAGTTAGAATATTAATGAGGCCTAACTAAACTGATAAAAAACCTATTTGAATTTAGTTATCTTCCAACGTGCTTAATCACCACTAACTTCACAACTGCAGGTAGACAGCAAGCCGACCTAACAGGCCAGAGGTTAGCATGCCTCGACATCAAATGGGACCTACTGGTACGGTCAACGATGACACGCGCTCAGGAGACCGCCAAAATCATTGCGCAGCATCTCGACAAAAATATTGAGGTCAAAGATTGTCAGCTAATTGAGGAGGGGGCTCCTATCCCACCAGAGCCACCTGTGGGACACTGGAGACCAGAGCCAAGAGTAAGTATAATTAAATTTTACCCAAATTTTATCACTTTTTGACTATTAAAAGTCAGGGTTCGAGGATATATATCAAGGGATATATATCTTGATATACAACGTGTCCCAAAATTCAAGGATAAGCCGGCGCCGCAGGGTGGACCTAGTCATGACTGCTTTAGGAAAAATAAGAAAAAAAATCTATCTCAATTATTTTTTAAGTTACACAATAAATTATGAAATTCGTCGAAAATTGACACCCCTTATGATATTTTACATTACCACGACTACAATTTTTCAAATACTTCAGTTTTTTTGTTTGTATCGGCAACTTAAGTAGTGCTGCTGTCCACCCCAATTCTTAAAACCCTCAGAATCTTTGCAGTTTTTACACAAAAGTTAATCAAAATATGATATTTCCTTAAAATTTTGAACGATTTTTACTTACACTCCACTTTTACTCGTCGTTTTGTAAAAAAACAGTATGAACACTACTGCGGCAAGTTTTTTATAAAGTTGACGCAACTATCCAAGATTCCGAAATGGTATAATNGCCGCCGAGCGCTAGAATCACCTCTATTGTTAATGAATCATTTGGAAATTTCGATAAAAAGAGTGAAATATGAAAATTAATTTAAAACAAATTTCATATTAACTACTCACTAAACAAAATAATAACCACAAGCTAATTTGTATTCCATTCTATGCACCAATCAAATTATTTTGTAAATAGTATATCGTGAAATATTTTTGCCAAATGAAACATTTGGCAAAACATACTTTGCCAAACAATAATTTGCTAAACAATAATATGCCAAAAACGACATTTGCGAATTAAAAGTTTGCAATAAGTTGTTTTGCCAAATGAGAATTTGCCAAATGAAAATTTGCGAAACGTTGTTTGCGATGTGATAATTTGGGAAACGTTTTTCGGCCAAACATTAGTAATCCAAGCAACTCAGCTTTTAGTAAGAGTGGTAAGAGTAAAAATAGGTAGACTTACCTATTCAACAAACTGATTCTGTATTTTGTAGATTCTTGTTTCAAATAACTAACACCATGACAAAATGAGTAAACTGTAAATAATCAATGTCACTTAGATAATACAAGAAATAAAGTAAACCCAAGGTCAAATATTACGTTTAAACAACCGTTTAATCTCTAAAAGTGATCTAGGACAAACAAGAGTTGCAACTAGATGACCTCTTGACACCTGCATTATTGTTTTCTTCGTCAGATTGAGGACAGATGCAAATGAATAGACTTGCGAACAATCTGTGTTATTGAGATCCATAGTTAGATTTGCACTATTTACTGCACAACTAAATAGGCCAATATTATCAAAATTCAAATGTAAAAAGGGCCTATGGTTACGACACAAGATGCTATGGCGACTTCTTATGATAGTATTTTATTTAATTTTTTACTTGTTTTGATTTTAAGTGCCTTTTTCCTGATAAGCGGATTTCGTAACGGTGTGGATCTTGTCTGCATGGGGGCGCTACATGACAGGAAAAAGGCACTAAACTCAATGATTGTATCAGTAAAAAAAGTATAATAAAAGAAAAGCATGTTGTTTGTGTAATTAACGTTTTTAGACTGATTTGCACCACCTTATTTGAACCGTAACAATAACTGATGCTTTTTGTATAGAATTTGACAGATTTTTGACGTTTGTTAAAGTTAAAGTAAGATGGTGCAAATCAGCCTGTTTTATGTATCAAGCATGTAGAATAATCTTCTATACAATGTATAACCATCGTCATGTTCATCATTGTGATTGCATTGCTAACTGACCAGTGTTGCATTATCCCATCCATAACATTCCTTTCCCATAAATGCTTCTGTAAACTTAGCTTAGTAATAGTTTCGTTCATAACATTTCCCATTCATAAAATCACACTATGTAATTAATAAAATTATTCTCAAAATTAAACACTGAGAATAATAAAAACGTAAATTCCCAATGCTATTAAGTATGTACCTAGTAGTGAAAAGGTAGTAGTATTTTTTTTGTCTTTTTACCTTTTTTAATTTCCGTCAAATATGCGCCCTTACGTAAACTCAAATTAGTATTTTTTCTTCCCGTTTTCTTCATCCTATTTTTTTTCAACAATCTCGTTCTCTTTTTGAATCCTAATTGTTTTTCTTTTTTTTCCTCTATTCCCTATTTTTTTTTGCAACTGGCCAGTATAGTAACGCGGCCTGGTCTGGTACGTTTAGCAGTTTTTCCAGGACGGCGCGCGCATCGAGGCGGCATTCCGCCGCTACTTCCACAGAGCGCCACCGGAGCAGACCCAAGATAGCTATACGCTGCTGGTGTGCCACGCCAACGTGATACGGTTCTTCGTTTGCAAGTAAGTTTAAAGTTCGTTTAGAGTCGTTTAGAGTCGTTTAGAGTTAGACAAAGTGACAGTTTCAATTTCGAAATTGCTTCATGAAGCGAAGTGATATTATATTAAAAAAAAAGCAAACTCGAGGCAATTTCAAAATTAAATCTCACGAATTTTACTTCTAGTCACATGCTTACCAGGTGCTGTATTTTCTTTAAATTTTTGAATTGAATAAAAATATTCAAGGGTTTATGTGAATTCTCGATTGAATTAGCTCATCCATTACCCATTATAAGAAAACTAAGATTTGTAAGCCTACCCTAGCAAAACTTGGTGGGGTAATGGCAACTACATTACCCCACCAAGTTTGACAATCAGTGATTCTGAATTCGAAAAAATCATTCAATGAGGGTTTTCGCTATTGAAAAATCCGCCAGATGGCAATACGTAGACGCGAGGTCCAAATGCTGCGTGATTGGTGGATTTTGATATATCTGTCAATGTCATGTCAAAAATAACCAATCATGCAGCATTTGGACCTCGCGTCTACGTATTACCATCTGGCGGATTTTTCAATCGCGAAAACCCTCATTATTTCATTCAATTATTAATTCGATCGGAACAGCTCGCTTCACTCTCAATACTCAATCTACCCCTCTCTTCCAGAGCCCTTCAGTTCCCTCCAGAAGGCTGGCTGCGGATAGCGCTCAACCACGGCTCAATCACCTGGATCTCCATCCTACCGAGCGGGAACGTGGTCCTCCGCACTCTGGGCGAGACGGGACACATGGCCCCCAAATATATCAGCAGCCGGTAAACTGGTTGATATATCAGTCACATATCTAGAAGTTAGGTTTGAGCAGTGAGTCTTTCGTCAGGGTCGACCTATTATGGACGCCCCTTTAGTCCCTTGAAATTTTTGGGTTTTACACTTCTTATTCCTCTTGAATCGCCCCATCAATTTTCTAGCCCCTTTGGTCCCTTAAAATTTTTGGGGTTGTCCACTTATACCATTAATTCGCCCCATCAATCCTGTTCATAGCACTGAATGGGGATTTGTGTAAAAAAGTTCATTATCCCTTATTGATGGGGCGCTAAATGGGGATTCGCTGGAAAAAGTTCACTATCCCCTATTGATGACGCGGTGAATGGGGATAAGTGGGATGACCCAAATTTTAGGGTTCCGTATTTAAACTTAAAGATGCAGCTTTTTTTTCGATTTGCGACATTTTGGCGCCCTTTTTGGTGCCTAGAGCAGTGGTTTCTAAACTTTTTTAGCCCTATATACCTCGAATTTTTGAGCACCAATTCATATCTGCTACTTGTGTTGTCGGCGCTAACTTACAACTAGTGCATATCTTTAAATCATTAACAAATGGAATGAAAATATGAGCAATGCTTTTTCAAACAAATACTACAGTTTAAGCACAGTCCATAATACGTATTATTAGTAGTAGTAAATACTAAATCTAGTTTTATGTTACTTACAATTTAGTTATAGCCTGACCAGGAACATAAAAACCCTGGCACAGAGGCGCTTCAATTGCATTTGATAGTGCAACACTGAGTACAGTCGTACATGTGTTCAATTAATAGGCTAAATTTATGTATCAGGATTCAGGATTACGGGCTAATTTGATATTTTCATAAATTAACGAAAAATATTATTAAAGATAACCTGGTTTAANACACGTTGTATATCAGATATATATCCGATATATATCCAGCCGGTTTTGATGATATATATCAATTTTTTAAATTTGTAACTGTATTTGTGCTTTTTCACATAAGATTTTTGTTTTTTAGTTGATTTTGCCGATTTTACAAGAAGATTTAATGTTTTTGCTTTATTTGTCTGATTTTAAGTTTTAAAAACATTAAAAACATGTTTATGTGACACATTTTCAATGATATTCTTAAATAATACAATAAAATAATAGTATAGCTTTCATACAAATTTGATGTGATGAACCCTGTTAAAAGTACAAAATAAAGAAATATCAGGGTTTTTTTAAACAAAAGAGTTGAAATGTATGAAGAATTGTATTATTGAGCACAAAGCTGTATATAATGCTATACCATATCTCTTAAAATGCATTTCCTTTGTTAAATTCCTTTGTTTCACATTCACTTCAATATCAATTTACTTTGATGATGTAAGAATCAAAACTCAGCATTTAGTAAAAGTAGAAATAGAAAGACTCACCTATTCAACAAGTATATTGTAGATTCTTGTTTGAAATAACTAAAACCATGACAAAATGAGATAATTATTGTTTGCTGTAAATAATCAATGTCACTTAAATAATAGACAATACAAAAAATTAAGTAAACCCAAGGTCAAATATTACGTTTAAACAACTGTTTAATCTCTAAAAGTGATCTAGGACAAACAAGAGTTGCAACTAGATGACCTCTTGACACCTGCATTATTGTTTTCTTCGTCAGATTGAGGACAGATGCAAATGAATAGACTTGCGAACAATCTGTGTTATTGAGATCCATAGTTAGATTTGCACTATTTACTGCACAACTAAATAGGCCAATATTATCAAAATTCAAATGTAAAAAGGGCCTATGGTTACGACATAAGATGCTATGGCGACTGCTTATGATAGTATTTTATTTAATTTTTTACTTGTTTTGATTTTAAGTGCCTTTTTCCTGATAAGCGGATTTCGTAACGGTGTGGATCTTGTCTGCATGGGGGCACTACATGACAGGAAAAAGGCACTAAACTCAATGATTGTATCAGTAAAAAAAAGTGTAATAAAAGAAAAGCATGTTGTTTGTGTAATTAACGTTTTTAGACTGATTTGCACCACCTTATTTGAACCGTAACAATAACTGATGCTTTTTGTATAGAATTTGACAGATTTTTGACGTTTGTTAAAGTTAAAGAAAGATGGTGCAAATCAGCCTGTTTTGTGTATCAAGCATGTAGAATAATCTTCTATACAATGTATAACCATTGTCATGTTCATCATTGTGATTGCATTGCTAACTGACCAGTGTTGCATTATCCCATCCATAACATTCCTTTCCCATAAATGCTTCTGTAAACTTAGCTTAGTAATAGTTTCGTTCATAACATTTCCCATTCATAAAATCACACTATGTAATAAATAAAATTATCATTATACACAGAAATTTAAAAAAGTAAATCCCCAATGTTATTATGTATCTATTAGTATAAATAAAGTGTAGTATTCATTTTTTATCTTTGTCTCATTCTATTTAACTTTTACCTTTTTTAATTATCCTCAAATATGCGCCCATAAACTCAAATTAGTATTTTTTTCTCCCCGTTTTCTTCATCCTCTTATTTTTTACTTCAAACATCTCGTTCTCTTTTTGAATCCTATTTTTTTTCTTTATTTCCTCTATTCCCTATTTTTTTTTGCAACTGGCCAGTATAGTAACGCGGCCTGGTCTGGTACGTTTAGCAGTTTTTCCAGGACGGCGCGCGCATCGAGGCGGCATTCCGCCGCTACTTCCATAGGGCGCCGCCGGAGCAGACCCAAGACAGTTATACGCTGCTGGTGTGCCATGCCAACGTGATACGGTTCTTCGTTTGCAAGTGAGTGTACAGCCTCTTAAACAACTGACAGTTACGATGTCGAAATCGCTTCGTTGCGGCAATTTTTTTAAATGAAGTTACTTTACTCCGTGAAGCGATTTCGGAAATAAAAATGTCACGGATGTTTATTTGTCTAAATATGTACTGGTTTACATGGATGCTATGTTTCCACTGATTTTCATTTATAGGTGCATTGAAAAGCTTTGAAAAATTACCTATTATGTACTTTTAATTATTTCTGAATTGAAACTAGAGACTAGCCTAGTTTTATTTATTTATTTAAAATGCAAAGGTGTCGGACTGACCAACGTGTGATCAGAGGAACGCGGGTTTGAACCCCGCCACCGCTCGATTATTGTGGTGATCCACTCGTAACACGTGCATATTTAGCGGGGTTAATTGGTAAAATACAAACGAAATACGTCGCTTCACTCTCAATACTCAATCTACCCCTCTCTTCCAGAGCCCTTCAGTTCCCTCCCGAAGGCTGGCTGCGGATAGCACTAAACCATGGCTCCATCACCTGGATCTCCATCCTTCCTAGCGGGAACGTGGTCCTCCGCACCCTGGGCGAGACGGGACACATGGCCCCCAAATATATCAGCAGCCGGTAAACTGGTTGATATATCTACAGTCACATATCTAGAAGTTAGGTTTGAGCAGTGAGTCCTTGGGCGCCCCTTTCATTTGGTCCCTTGAAATTTTTGGGTTTTACACTTCTTATTCCTATTGAATCGCCCCATTAAGGTGGATCAATTTTCAAGCCCCTTTGGTCCCTTCAAGTTTTTGGGTTTTTTCCACTTATACCATTAATTCGCCCCATCAACCCTGTTCATAGCAATGAAAAAAAAATTGGGAAATAATTGGGGATTCGTGGAAAAAGTTCACATACCCTTATTGATGACGGTGAATGGGGATAAGTGGGATGACCCAAATTTTTTAAACTTAAAGATGCAGCTTTTTTTTCGATGTGCGACATTTTGGCGCCCTTTTTGGTGCCTAGAGCAGTGGTTTCTAAACTTTTTTAGCCCTATATATCTCGAATTTATGAGCAACAATTTCATATCTGCTACATGTGTTGTCGGCGCTAACTTACAACTAGTGCATATCTTTAAATAATTAACAAGTGGAATGAAAATATGTGCAATGCTTTTTCAATCAAATCCTACATTTTAAACGGAGCCCATAATACGTATTATTAGTAGTAATTAATAAATCTAGTTTTATGTTACTAACAATTTAGTTATTATATCACATAGAAGTTGAGATATGTGACTTTTTCATATGGGCATTTATGTATACTGATTTTGTATAAATGAAATACAAACCAAGGATATTTGACTGACATAAAATGAATACTGTTTAATATACATATCCTTATCCATATTATGTAGTGTGCGTTTGTATTATTTTTTATTATTAGTGAAATGTGAATTAATTATTAATAAATTCTTTTTTCTTAATCACACAACTATCAAATCAACTATAGTCACTTAAGTCTAGTTACATGTCTAAATGAAAAGACTGGAGACCTTATGAGAGTAAAAATATTGGCATTTTGGTTACGAACTGTTCTTTTTAAAATAAAAAGTTTCAGACGTTGATTCACACGTCAGATATCCTGTATATTTCTTCTTCTTTCCTGTATATTTGTAATGTCATTGAGAGTTGAAACGTCAAAGCTTTGTACTGCTAACGGTTTTTGAATTGGCCTCTAATTTCTTTATTCACCCATAATAGGGAAACGAGTGGTTTGAGCATTCATAATACAGTACAAAAGGACGCTATTGTGTGATATTTTAATCTGTTAGTAACAAAATGCAGTTTCACACGCATTTTAAATCTGTTACTAAGAGAGGGCGTTATTATAAAATAATTTTATTTGAATTCTGCTTTTTTGTTTTTTGAATTCGCTATTAAAATACAATGAATGTATTGCAGGCGTATTTTTTGACAGCTTAATATTTGCAATTCGCAGAAATAATTATCAGTTTTGTGGAAATAGAATGCGATAATTGACCACCAATTTTTTATGGCTATGAAAAATATTCAGAAAAAAAAAATTTACAAAACTCCCCGTATTTTTTCCTAACCAAAATAGACTGAATAACTTGTCTTTTAGTTATAGTTACCATAAAATAACAAACTAAAGTGTTCACACATTACCTCTGACTAACATTATACTTATTTAAACCTAACATGTGTTAACAGGAATAATCCGACTTAAGTGATGCTGAGAAACGCAGACGAACGGTATTTAACGTAGTATCACTGTGCCGTAACTTGCTTTTGCACAGGCTTTTGTGTATTTTACAAGAATACAGTAATTGAAATCTAAGAAAAGCTTAGAAAATGCAACATTCGTGAAGGTTTGACGAACACAAATGTTAAAGAATTCGCCTTACAGCTAGCGCTAAAAGTAACTTGAAAGTTCCTTTAACACGTTTAACGCCATAATTTAAAAATAATAAAATGTTTTTGGGTTCACTTGATGTTTTAGATTGAATTTTTAAAAATTCCTAAAAATCCGCGCATAGGTTTTCTTCAAATTTAACAAAAAAAAAAAATAGAACCGACTAAAAGGTGTTCGCTTTGCAGTATTTGTAATGAGACAGATAATTTAATTCCCAAAATAATGTGAAGGGAAATTCGAATTTAGAATGTTATGTTTTTTTTTGTTGTAAAATAGGTCATAGTTNAACTCACTGTTTTTGTGTTAAACCACTTCAAAAGTCATAATAAATCATCGCTCTTGAATTTTCTCGAGTCAATTCCATTTTCTCAACGACTAAACAAGTTTGACAAGACCTTGTGATACGACCGAGAATCTTTTTTTTAAATAAATAAATGGTATACGATTTTTAAAACCCTGGAGTTTGCAATTAAATAGATTTTAATATGACTGGAACAGTGGAAATATTCCATTCCCGATACTTTTAGTGCAGCCCTCGTAAACTGTATTGTTGTAACTTACACTTATTATTGTAATAGCACACCGTAATGAAGATCGATTGTTGACAAAACAATAGATCGATTTGTAGATGCTTGTTCGTTACCACATGTCAATTAAATGTGTAGTTTTGTGTGTTGTTTAGATTCGAAGACCTAGATCACGCCACTGCCATTTTCTACAAAAGAAATGTCATTACTGTCATAATAAAAATATCGAAAAACGACTCTCACTAAGACCACCCTCTTTTTATACATATGTATTTTAATTTTTTGAATGTATTTTTGTTTTGTTTTAATGGGTAAAGTGTGCTAAATGTATTTCATCGTCTTGTAATATTTGTCCGTCGTAGATGTCAAGGTGTCCGCATTTTGTATCCCCATGTTCATAGTTCTTAATGTTCATTTACACCATCATTTGTTTGCACATATAGCAGTTACAGTGTTTAAAAAAAATCTTTACTATTTCTTTATACTTTTATAAAGAAGAATAATTATGTTTAATTAATTAGAAAACGATTAAAATATTGTTTATTAAATGATACATTTATGATGTGAGTTACCAAAACTTCTCAGCTCTATTCTAAAACGACACTCAAAATTCAATCTTCTATGTTTCTTGTAGATTCATATTTGTGTGCCATTTTTACCAGTCCTACCCGTATTATAGCTAAAAATCTGTACATTATTGAGTGTATTATTAAATCGGATGTCGTTTCTTAATACGGGCATTAGCTCGAATGAAATAGGGTTGATTTTTGCTTGGAATTCTTCAATCATTGGCAGTCACAATCCATCATTGTAAAAGCCACCTTATAGTGAATTGCAAAAGATGCAAATTATGTTTTTTCCTGTTGCGTTGTTAGCTTGAGAATAAAATTCATAAATTAATGAATATAATGATCAAATATTATGTTGTTACTTTAACAAATTGTTACTTTATTTGTATTTGATAACACTGCCATATTCGAATAGCTACAATTTGAGTGCCATTCGCAAAGTGAGTACCTAGATACCTATTAAACTAACGTGGATTTAAATTAATTAACTGTTCATTTAACTAATTTTAACTACATTGGGGTCATCAAACACACATTGCCATTATGTGACTGCACATAAATGCATTACTAAGTGTGGGATCCACAATATTTGCCATAGATTTTCTAGTTAAACAAGTAATTATTTCTTTAATTAAATGTATTTTTCAGATACTTCGGAAATTCCATTTGGTAAGTTACTCTTTGCGATGGCAACATTTAAATTGATGCTTATTCGAATTTTTAACTTGTTGTATATTAGGAAAATATACAATTATATTGAATAATAATAATCTGTGCTCAATGTATTTCCTAACATATTCGGCTTCGAGCAATTTTGCCTTTGTAGTCAATCAAAATACCTCCATTTTAGAAGCCAATGTGAATTTGTATCGACATGTATATAAAATAAGCTGTAAATATTTTGATATGTTAATAAAATTTATGAACAAAAGATTTTGCATTTCATTTAGTTCCTTATTTGATCAAGTTTTCGTAACATAAACCTAGTCTTATTATAGCACAAACACATCAGTGTATGAGAGGCTTTTTTCGGAGGTAACAAAACTAAGTTAGGTACTTACTCCGATGAATGCTTAATTTCTGAACAGATGGTTAACTATTAGGCGTTATTTAAGAAAACTCCATCATAATTAAGAATTTATTTATTTTGTATATTGGTCTGATTAATTTACAACACCGATAGAACCGTAGAAATTATCTCTAACCATGCATTTTTAGTTTGGAATATTGTTTCCTAAAATAAATCGAAAATAACATCTGCATTTGCGATAGTATCATTATAAATTCATATAAGATATGTTTAGTTATAACAAAAGTATGAATTATTTTAATTTTATTATGAAAGAAATTTTATTTAACACGTTCACAGGCTACATACTGTACCTATACAGAATGTTTTTCAGTTGCGTGATAAAACTTTTTAGACCGCAAACGTGTTAAATAGTGCGTTTTTCTTTTATTTTTAAATATGAGTATTAATTTTTTTAAATACTTTGACTTCGATTAAAAAGATAGCGTTAAGCGATTTTTTATCGTTTTGTAAGTAGGTTAATACAATAATACAAAGTCGTGATGATTACATTAATCCTAGCTTAGTAACTTACACTTAGCAATAATTAAGGAAATATTAATTTAGGTACATAGAAATATAGTCCGCTGCATAATTTTAGATGAAATGGAAAAGTTTATTTTAAAAGTGTATTTTGGTTTTCTTAAATGACTATGGTTATTTTTGATTCAATGTAGAAAATACAGTTTAAGATATATCTGGTAAAAAGTTAATAATATTTCATTAGGCAATTCAGAGATATCTAAAATGTAGGAGTTGTTACAAACGTTCTGAATCTGTATTAAAAGCCAACTGCAAAATCCCATTTTTTGCGTTTTCGGTTGAAATAAATATCTTTGGACAAATAGTTTGAAATATTAATTAGGCAATCTATCTGAACATCCTTTCTTATTTATCAAGTAATTAGTTATGATGAATTGAAAAAGATACTAGAGTTAGTAAGCCCTAGTAGTCCGCCAAAATCGTTGCTTAAAGTAACGGTTTATAGGCCCGTATTATTAAGACTCAATGAATATTAGATTGAAAACTCAAACGTATTAGTTGTTTAACTATTGTTCAACCAATCACACCTGAGTTTGAATCGAGTTTTGAGTCAAGTTTTATGGCGCAGTTACACTGTGCGGAAAATTGACCGAGACGAAGCACGAGCACGCATATCGAAGTATGGGTGACGCACAACGAAACTAACTGAAGTGAGTGTTTACACTATACGTCTCGATCAATTTCTCGCACAGTGTAACTGCGTCATTACAATATGGGCCTAAAACTACCCTCAAATTTAGTTGGCCGCGACCGCTCGTGGGAGGGATATCTCGGTTTCAGTCGCGTCGTCTTCGTCCTCGTCGTCGCACGCGTCTTCTGGCTCGCCGAGAGCTCTGACGAATTCTGGAATTTACAAGTTAGCACAATGTTGACAACGTGGAGCTGGTGAGTAGGTAATTTATTTTTTCAGTCACTGATATAAAATTCGTGTCGCGTCATTTAAAACTTCGTAACTGTTTTTAAAAATATATAATAGGTAGTTTTTTAATATGGAAGTTAAAATGTTAAGCTATTTTTTGCTCACCCAAAAAGTCAATACGGCCATCACCATCAGAGTCCACCTCCTTTATCATGTCTTCAACTGGAAACAAAAAAAACATTCACAATCCATAAGGCAGCTTAATAAAGCATGTAGATATCTGCATATCAAATTAGGTTTGCCATAGCCTACCTACAATGAGACTATAACGCCCTTATTCACAAACATTACTATAAGGTCTCACAGTGCGCGTGGACGCACAGGGTGACACATGAACCAATCACTCAACGCTGTGCGTTCGATTTGCTGTTTCACTTAAGTTTATGAATACGGGCGTACAATGTTAAATACTATATTTCCCAATATAACAGCTCAACAACTCACTCTCTTCCTCCGACAAGTCCTCCCCCAAGCACTGCAGCACGGCCCTCAGGTCCGAAGCACATATGTACCCCCTATTATGCTTGTCAAACACGCGGAAGGCGTCCCGAAGCTCCCTCTCCTCCTGTTCAGCAGAGCTGGTCCCGCCACCAGCCCCTGACATGGACTTGGAGAGGATGCTGACGAACTCCTCGAAGCTGACGTTGCCGTCGCCTGGGATTAGGAGATTCTTATGAGAATTGGCAGGTGAGATCCTATCTAAGTAAAGGTGTTTTTAATATCGTGTGGATTTCACCACGCACGCGGAAGACACTCGCTAGTGTCCTTTCAAGTATTTATTGTAATGCATGGAATACGGTGCAATCCCGCGTGCGTGATGAAATGTTTGTTTTAGTAATGACACAGAAAAATAATAAGTACCTAGGTACCTACTGTAATGAACAATAAGGGTTCTTTCTCAGGCAGGACTAAGTAGGGGAAAGTAGTACGAGTTGATCCCCTGGGGTAAGATGATCTTTCGCGATTGTGCTGAAACCACTAATGTCATTTAGTTTCTTTCACTGGTAAAACATAGCTCTGGACACATCCCCGCCTCAGTCNTTATTTTTTCAGTCACTGATATAAAATTCGTGTCGCGTCATTTACGTCATTTACAACTTCGTAACTGTTTTTAAAAATATATAATAGGTAGTTTTTTAATATGGAAGTTAAAATGTTAAGCTATAAATTTTTGCTCACCCAAAAAGTCAATACGGCCATCACCATCAGAGTCCACCTCCTTTATCATGTCTTCAACTGGAAACAAAAAAAAAAACATTCACAATCCATAAGGCAACATGTAGCTAGATATCTGCATATCAAATTACGTTTTCCATACCTACCTACAATGAGACTATAACGCCCTTATTCACAAACATTACTATAAGGTCTCACAGTGCGCGTGCGGTGACACATGAACCAATCACAGAGCTCTACTCAACGCTGTGTTCGATTTGCTGTTTCACTTAAGCAAGCATCGTTTGTGAATATTGGCGTAAAATGTTAATTAAATACTATATTTCCCAATGAAACAGCTCAACAACTCACTCTCTTCCTCCGACAAGTCCTCGCCCAAGCACTGCAGCACGGCCCTCAGGTCTGAAGCACAGATGTACCCCCTATTATGCTTGTCAAACACGCGGAAGGCGTCCCGAAGCTCTCTCTCCTCCTGTTCGGCCGAGCTGGTCCCGCCACCGGCCCCTGACATCGACTTGGAGAGGATGCTGACGAACTCCTCGAAGCTGACGTTGCCATCGCCTGGGATAAGGAGATTCTTATAAAAATTGGCAGGTAAGCTACCTATCTAAGGGTGTTTTTAATATCGTGCGAATTTCGCGGTCTATTCCACTTTGATTGGCTGGATTTGATCACCCAGGTAATGAAAGTGGACTCCAGGTGACACTTTGATGTTCTTTGATTACCACTAGGTGGTGGTGATAAGATAAGAAGTCCACTAGGTGATCAAAGTAGAATACTTAGACCAATTTCATCACGCACGCGAGATCGCTCCCCGCATGCGTGACACCCGCAAGTTTCCTTTCATACAAGTATTTTTTATTGTAATGCGTGGAATAAGGTGCAATCCCGCGTGGGTGATGATTGTTTTTAGTAAATGAACAAAAAGAACAATGGCGCGCCCAATCAGGAAACTAAATGCGGGAAGCACCGACAACTTATACTGTCACGGGTGATCGAGTTTCTTCTGCCACTTCTTCTTTCTCTTTTTATCAGCCAGTCAATATGTTGTTCTGGAGTTGGCAAGCTATGTTGAACATCAAGCTGTGAGTACATTGTAGACACATTTAAAAATCTCGCGTTGAGACCCATGTTTCTCTTTATATATGCTGTGTTGGGACGTGCGTATAATTAGATAATGCCGCCTATTTTGAGCAGTGTTGTCTTGAAGTTAAAGTGATCCCATCACTGTCACAGCAAGTTGTTTTCGGGAAGTGTGTACTTGTCCTGAAATGGGCCTAAATACTGATGAAGAATTTGAATATCTCACCATCGCTGTCGACCTCTTGCAACATGTCGTGCAACTCCTCAACCCTCGCGAACTGCCCCAGACTCCTCATCACGCGGCCCAGCTCCTCCTTCGTGATTGTCCCGTCTCCATCCTTGTCGAAGAGACGGAAGGCCTCGCGGAACTCTGGAGACAAAATTATAATTGCACGGCTGTGGTAAAAAATCAAAACAAGTGTCGCAGTCATCCATAAATTGGACTTTAGGACTGTTACATCCTCACATATAAGTACTCAGGTATACCTTTTTTTATTTTATTTTTTCTTAGGAAAATGGCCTATCCATGCCTACCGCCGGGGGACGGCAGGTTATGTGGGGCTCGAACCCACTAAAAACCTGGGGAGTTCCCTCTGCCGCATAGTGGTCGGCGCCTTGGGTACTAGAAACGACCAAGGCGCCTTCCGCGGAATACTCAGATATACCTACTCAGAAGTGAGGTGTACTGTGTACCTACTTAATTAGTTATTATAGTTAGAAAATCTCTATGAGGTGGGTGGTAGGGGAGAAGAGGAGAGTTGTAACCGAGGAGAGTATTTTTAATGGAACTTATTAACTATCAGCTCGCAACAGCGCGTATTTGTTAGCTGAAGATTTTGAACTAAAAAAAAACACGCACTGTTAGCAGCTCGCTAGTAGTTAATAAATTCCAAAAACTCGATAGTCTCAACTCTCCTCGGTCTCCCTTACCATTAATACACTCAAAGCCTAATTTATTCTATACCTAGACATTTCCATTTTATATGAACGTACATAGTTTACCTACTAACAAAGCGAATTAACCATATTGAAAGCTAATACCTAGTGTGTGCTCAGATTATTATACTCATACAAACTAATCCTATCATCGTCCTATATCAATATTGGTGTAGTTCAATCCAATATTCTCAACGGCCATACTAAAAATGACATCACTAATTCGTGGTTGTCGTGAACAAATAAGTTAGGTACCGATACCGATTACCAGCACTAATAGCAGGAGTGGGGGGTTGGTATTCCCTTTGAAAATATAATTTCTTAACTGCTTCAATCAAAATGCGTTTAACATGCCGGTCCTTGGTTCCACTTTGATTAAATAGTACCTACTTATATAACTGTGCAGTTTTTAAGGAATTAACCAAAATCAGCCCTAAGTCTCTGATTTTGCTGACCACGCACACTTTAAAAGTCTACTTGACTTTTTAATTTGAATACTACCGGATCCTCTATTTGTCGTGACCCGCAACGTGTTAACTCTTCTCTTTTCCCATCTTTCAATCGTAGGGTTGTCAACTCATACATAAAAGTTAAAAAAATATTTCTACAACTCTGAAATTATTTATCATCAACTCTGAAATTATTTATCATAGGGTTACCCAGTATAATTCAGTATATTTGAAGGGTTATACTCGTATTCCTACCTTTCATCTGCGTCCGAATGATGCCCGTGGTCTCGTCCACGATGGACGCTTTCCTGTCCAGGGTCGTGTCCGCAGCCGGCTTCAGGAACGACACCTGCCGCTGCTGCTGATCCCTGCAGCAGGATCTTAAATCCACTCTGCCAGAAACCAAGGACTCGTGGTAACTTCTCTTACCTTTCATCTGCGTCCGAGTGATGCCCGTGGTGTCGTCGACGATGGATGCCTTCCTATCCAGGGTGGTGTTCGCAGCCGGCCTCAGAAACGACACCTGCCGCTGCCGCAGGATCTTAAATCTACCCTATCAGAAACTAGGACTCGTGGTAACTCCTCTGTACCTTTCATCTGCGTCCGAGTGATGCCGGTGGTCTCGTCCACGATGGAAGCCTTCCTGTCCAGGGTGGTGTCCGCAGCCGGCTTCAGGAACGACACCTGCCGCTGTTGCTGACCCCTGCCGCAGGAGCGCTCCGATAATATGCTGCAACCAAAACTTGGATCACTATTGTGTCATAGGAGACACCTGCCTACAGCGCCCTATACAAAGTAAGACACCTTCGTTCATTCACTTCACCCAATGTGGGCTATGGCCGTAGTAGTCTGTAGTTGGCTACCTTAATAAACTCCGACAAACATTACTTCGACATTACTTTACTCCGACACTACTGAATATCGACATGACTTTACTTCGACACTACACTACTCAGACAAAGGATATTATCCTTTATTAATAAAAATCATGTTTTATTGTGTAACTAACCCAGGTTTAAGTACCTAGTTACTAAAGATATTCCAATAGATAAGTATACCTATCACTTTCACATAAAATAACTCCGTAAAGATCCCAATATTAAGGATCATCAATTAGTTTGTTATTCAATATTAATAAATATTCAATACTGTCTGAATATATAGCCTATAGTAGTCTAAAAATTATCTTTTACAGGAAAAATATTTATTAATAATAAAATTCCAACAGGTATCTATAAATCCATAAAAAGGTATCAGGTATTCTTCCTAATCACTTCCTACCGACAACTCCTCAATTTAACAACCCGATAAACCCCGCCTGATTACCGGCCTTTTCATAACGGCATGACCTCCATTTTATTTATTGCCATCCCAAGCCTTTTTAATCGGTGAAGCGTACAACTTAACTGCGGACCCGGCTGCTACAGAATTCAATTTAAAAATTCTATTTGCTGCGAAGAGGGTCTGATCAAACAGCTAGGTTGAAGTTTAACGACTTGTGGAACGTTTTGCTTGAAATTGTAGAAGTTTCTCTATCAATTATTTAGATAGAGGAAGACTAGTATTTTACAATGGCCTATAAATATTTTCGGAGAGTCACAGGTGATTGACATTATTTTTATTTACTAGCTGTTGCCCGCCTCATCGCCAGTTTTTCAATTCCAGTTTATCACAGAAATATAGTTATAAAGCCTCCATACCTACCTTAATCCTTCAAGCTCCGCGAATCTAGACACAATAGATAATCAATTGTTATGACATTAATTAATGCCGTCTGGGACTCAATCGGTTAATGTAAAGTTTCACCAAAATCCATTCAGTAGATTTTGCATGAACAATTTATTTTTCCATCCATTCTCAGAAACTTTCACATTTATATGTATAAACTTCAAGTTCAGTTTGTGGCTCTACCTATATTAAATCATCCAGAAAGATTGGAAGATAGATAGATAGATATTTATTTGCATCACCATAATGTAACATAGAGTAGATAAGGCTTAAAGCTAAATAGATCATTATGGACCCTGTGGGGCACTGCAATTAGAAGAGAGGAGGATCTAGTTTTAATTTATCACAATTTAGACTATTTGGACTATAGAAGTATTAGTCGTTAATAATTTTATTTTAATATTCATATGTATAAATAATATTATGTATAATTAAAAATATATAATGGAATCACAAAAGCCTTAAAAAAAGGCCTCTTTACAATTTTAAATTAAGATAGACACCTAATTGCCAATGAAAGGCTTAAAAAGTCGTTAATGCGTAAAACCCTGTGAAAATTGTTGGAAGTTTCAAGTAATAAATTATAGTGTCAATCTAAAGCTTCGCTGAAAAGAGCGGTAACATATTCAGCCCCTGAAATATTTAGTGAAAATGGATGGTGTTAATTTATGTTAATTAAGAAATTATACGATGCTAGTAGAAATACACTGTCCCAGACTACTTATTTAGTTAGTTTTGTAAATTCGTCTGTGCTCAATGAGATAAACTAAACTGTGTCCAATTATAACATTTAATAAGACTACTACTTATTTAATTATTATATAAGCAGAAAATCAAATTATCCAAAGAAAGCGATAGCTTAAAGACTCCTACTACTCAAGTTAGAGAGAAAACAGTAAGTTTTTCAATAAGTAGGTAAATGATTTAATTAATAATGTCTTTCATCCTACTTGGATGGGACTAAAATCAAACCAATTTAGCGCTTTAACAACAAATGTTTAATTAATTAGTTTAACTAGATTTTAATTTTCTGAAAATATCCATTATACGAGCGTATTTTATTTACCTTCTTGTACAGGCGACAGGACTTCATGAATTATTCTATTCTATGGTATCTTAAATGGTTGTGATAAGTCTTATTTTGCAAGAAATTATAGTCGAATGGACTGGTGACTGTATTTAGGGAAAACCTTTCCTGTCCCTTCATTAGATTAGGATCTTGGATGCGGAAGGAAAAATACATAATAAAGCAGACCGTATTGCTACATTGAACTGAAAATTGCTTGATTATGTTCTAAAGACGCTTGATATATTATGTACTTTTATGGACGGTTATTTCATGGTACCTACCTATATTTGTAAAATATCTACTTCCTTAACTTTTATTTGTCGTTTTAGTACTGTACTTACTTCCAAAGAGTTGGGCTGATATGATAGAGTCATTTATTTTAGGTACGAATTAGTAGATCTTACTTCCGATAACAAATAGCGAAAGAAGTCACATGCAAAAGCTATATTTATATTACTCTTGCCTGGGCTTTAACCTTGTAGAATCCTAATTATTTAAAAAAATAAAAGTATAAGTTCTTTCATAACATCCATCTCCAAGTGAAAGTGAACAGGCAGAAAGCTTACATTTTAATAAATTACCAACACACCGAAACAAATCAAATTGTTGTATTTTAAGAGATAAGTAGTACAATAAAAACAACGCATCAGATGATTCATCACAGTTTTCCATAAATAAATCGCACACGAAAATCCAGTGGAAAATCCTTCAATATTCAGCACACTAATATATGTCAAAGGCTGAATGGAATATAAGGGTGGCCTTCAATTTCACGCTGAAGCGAGTTCCAATAGAAAGTGTGAATCACTATCGAGAAGGCACGCGAGTTACAAAGAACCAATCGATAAATACTCGATGCTACTAAAGTTCTTAGAAGTAAAGTCGTAAGCACACGTATCGCAAATTATTAGATTTTTATGTCAGCTTTTATTAACCGACTTCAACAAAAGGAGGAGGTCCTCAATTCGGTTAGTACTTTTTATGTATGTTTTAACTTGATATTATTTAGGTCAATTGCAACTTAATTTGTAACTAGTTCCCATGGGAAGTGGGTTAGCTTGAATACCAGTGTTTATGCATTATGTCAACATTGTCAATGTAATATGATTATGAGATGGACCTGATTCTGCTAGCAGGATCACCTGCAGACCACCCAACTCCTCAATGGTTTACAGCAACAATATCGTAACTGGACTTGTTAGTTTTGTCTTGATTTGGCTCTTACATTATTGACAAAGCTTTTTTATGTTCTTTTCATCATCATCATTTCAGCCATAGGACGTCCACTGCCGAACATAGGCCTCCCTCAATGATTTCCTAAATGGCCGGTTGGTGGCCTGCCCATTGCCACTTCAGCTTGCTAATCCGTTGGGCTATATCAGCGACCTTAGTTCTTTTACGGATCTCCTCATTTCTGATTCGATCTCGTAAAGAAATATCTAGCATAGCCCTTTCCATAGCACGCTGTGCAATTTTGACTTTTACTACATAATTTTAATTTCTTATTCTAGATCTAGAGACATGTCATTGAAAAGATTCCATTTCAAAATTTCCATTCCTTTGTGCAAATTCCGTTCGATTATGCCGAATTTGTAGTTAATAAAGATGCGATAAGATGCAAAGATAAATCTATCGATACTTATCTTAAAAATTATCAGCAATGCATAATTTTTTGCATTACATAATATCTGAAAGTATTTGTATGGAAGTTAATTACATTATATTAGTATTATTACCATGTTGATTGAGATAATTTTTCAAGTACCTTATCTATTTATGCATCTACACGTAGAATGTTATTAAAAATCAATCATTTCATGATTAGTGATTATTAAGAGGTAATTATAATAAAATATTACTTATTTACTTGCCGACAATTAGGTACTTAGTAAAAATATTTCAAAATTCATTAACACAGTTAAGATATAAAGTAATGCTATAAATGTTTTTTGATTAATTACCTCAGCAGCTTTGAACTTAAATGGAAGCTTCATCGATCATACATTACGTTCACGAAAGTTCAACTCAAGTTTAGATTAACTTCGACGTAACTTCCGTTAAGGAAATCCACAACTCTGAAACAACCGGTACGTTACCGTAGGTAGTAAATTAACTACTTAAAGCAAACTAAGTTAATGATTTGAAAATTCACATTTATTCACGATACCTAAATCTATGGACAATATTATGGGCAAATTAAATAATTTTAAAGGACTCTACCAAAGAAACATGGCAAATATAAATCATTTCGGTGATTTCATTTTTTTTTTTGAGGTTTCAAGAAACAAATAATAATAAACTGTTGTAATACAAAGTTTCTCAAAAAAATAATTCGGACTTTTTCATAAACCTGATGCAGAACGTCGGGTTGCGAGCCGAGCGCCCTTGTCTCTAAGTAGGTACTATACCACGTTCATACTCGTATTTTGGCTTGTATTGTCACAGAATGTTAAGCAAACATTGTTAACCGAAGGGTATTCTACTCAAACATGTTATTAACCCAACCCAGCCCATCTAATGAGCGTGTCAATTCGGCATTTGGCAGTTATATGCCGCTTGAATACCGGCTAAACTAACAACCTTCAGAGCGAATCAAATTAAGTTACTTAGGTACAAAACAACACTAATTCGGTGTTGCAAATTGTACAGAAAAAAACTTTTTTTTATTTTGGACCCTAAGCTGGTTCGAAATAAACATAATTTATTTTTGTATTCCTTTAGATATCATGGATTCCATTAAAGGTAGACCTTATAGATGAGCAGATCTGGGGAATACCGGGGATACCTAAGTAAATATGTATTTTAATTCCAAAAAAACTTGATTAAAGAAGTTAAAAGTTACTTCGGTTTATACCGCCTTCTATAATATTATTCTAACTATACAGGGTGGAAAAGTTAAGTGATCTCACTCGATTATTTCTAAACTATACAAAATATCGAAAAACTGATTACTGATTCTGAAAGTGCTTTACGAGCTCTTTCAAACGATATCAGTAATAGGTTACAGAATTAACTGGATCTATCCGAAAATTCAATGTTTTCAGCCTCCATACTAAATGTATGCCACTATGCCAGCCACACAATATTAGAAGTGTTAATTTTTTTATTTTAAATAATAAACACTTAAAATTAATTCGTGAATTGCATTCTTATTTAAAATTATTCACGGAAAACATTGGTTTTAGGCTTTACTTGCTATAATATTATCAAGACATGAGTGCTATGATTGTGGCAGTATTAAATGTATGGAAGCTGAAAACATTGAATTTTCGAATAGATCCAGTTTATTTTATAACTTATTATTGGTACCATTGGATAGAGCTCGTGAAGCACTTTCAGGATCAGTTGCCAGTTTTTGGATATCTTGTTTAGTTTTTAATATTATGAGGTTTTACTAAATGTATGGAGGCTGGAAACATTGAATTTTCAGATAGATCCAATTTATTATGTAACCTATTATTGGTACCGTTGGATAGAGCTCATGAAGCACTTTTAGGATCAGTAAGCAGTTTTTGGATATCTTGTATAGTTTAGAAATAATCGAGTGAGATCACTTATCGTTTCCACCCTGTATNTGTTGCACCGTCTTACTTTAACATTGACATCAAAATTTTGGATGTCAAAAATCTGTCTAACATAAAACACCGGTTATTGTCAGTTAGGGTCAAAGTTAGGTGGTGCATCTCAGCCTTAGTGTATTTTAATTAAATTGGATGACGAAAATAATCGATAAGTGATCTCACTCGAATATTTCTTATAGTAGGTATACAGGATGTCGAACAAATGGTTACTTACTGAAAAAGTGCTTCATGAGACCTAGCAAACGGCATCAATAATATGTTTAAGAACGAACTGAATATATTCAAAAAACCTATATTTCCAGCTTTCATACATTTAATACAGTTACAAACAAACACGAAATCAATGGTTTCTGAGAATTCTGAGTGTCTTAATGCCGTCCCCTTTATCTGTTTATTTAGTATTTATTAATTAGTATCTTGATGATATTGTAGCAAGTTAAACCTAAAATCATGTTTTCCGTAAATAAATTTAAATAAGAATGCAATTTACGAGTTTGTTGTTTGATTATTAATTATACAGGGTGTTAGGTAAATGGGTATATGAGCCGACACTATAAATACTATAAATGGTATGGTGAAGTCAAAAATTTTATATCATGATTTTATTTTTTTTTTAATTTTCATACAAAATAAATTTTACAAAATCCATAATTACGCGCGAGCGATAAGGATGGGTAGCTTGGGGTCATTGGACAAAATTCTACGTGCTCGCAGACCAGACTATAGATTTTATTTTATTGTATTTCTTTATAGACTAACCGCATACAAGACTTTTAGTCGGCCGATAGTTTAGTCGGGCTGTTAATCAGTATGAATATACGCACATTACACCGATTTGATTTGGCCGATTCGATTACATATTCGAAGTCGACCAAACTATCGCCCGTATTCACAAACATTACTATGAGGTCTCACAGTGCGCGTGGACGCACAGGGTGACACACGAACGAAACACAGAGCTCTGTTCAATGCTGTGCGTTCGATTTGCTGCTTCACTAGCAAGCATCGTTTGTGAATTCGGGCCAATAATAAGTCCGTAAGTCTGCAGGGAGTCTTAAGGTCATAGCAGACTTATCAACTCTGAAAGGGATCAACATCGTATCACCTTTCGCGCGCTGTCAACCGCGAGGCGAGGCGTTTACGTTACGGTGCGGATAAGTGTGCGTTGCAGTATGGAGTTTCACACAAAGAATACTGCCCGCCTCGAGTTGATACGGTTACGATCCCTTTCCGGGCTGATAAATGTGCGACGTCCTTTATTTATTTAAGGATAGTACACAGCACAATATCAAGCTGTGAATCTTTAGAGTGAATAATATTGCAAACCACACTTTAACAAGCGACCCAACACAAAAGAGGTATAATTTACATAATATTGGACATTTCACCAATAATAATAACGTTTTTGCACAATACTATTATTTTATACATATCAAGTAACATAACACAGATATCGTTGTGTTGAATGTCTAATGAAAACCGGTACCGGAATAACGGTATTTGCGAGAACCGGTACTATTATAGTGTATTATTGGTACCAAAATACTGATATTATGAAATACCGGTAATATTTATTCAGTAAAATACAGATTTCAAACTTAGGTATCATTCAATCCACCAAATGATCGGTACCAAAATAACGTTGTAAAATTCCGGTTCTCATTTTATTAGTAACTTACCGGTACAAAATACCGATATCAATAACCGGCATTTATAACTTGTAAATACCGGTGACAAAAAACCGTTATGGACATTTATTAATCACCGGTACAAAATACCGGTATTAACCACTGAAATTACCGGTACAAAATACCGGTATTAACACTAAATTACCGGTACCAAATACCGTTATTACCGGTAATAACTCCCAAAAATACCGTTACCCGACCAGCTACCACAGACGCGACTAGACCGCCCAGTTCAACCTTATCGCTGGTACGACTGCAGTTTCTCACAGCTAGGCGTACGGAGTTTTTGCGCGTCCGCAAATTGGCGGGAATCGCCGAAGTTTCGCGCCTTCCACGCCATACTGTCACGGTAGTTGCGCTCGCGTTGACAGGCATGGCGGAGGCCCACTGGAAAGGTTATAAAAACATTGTTATACGCTATTGAAAGGTTGGTACAATTAGGCAATTAGATTTTTTATTATGAGCTCTAGAAAGGTCGTGGGTTCGATTCCAACCTTGGGCAATCGTATTTTTACAAGTTATTTATAATTATATCTTGAAAAAATCTGACTGAATATTTATAAAAGACAATGCCGGAAATTGGCGTCTTTTTTATTTCGCGCGGCCATCGACCAAACCTTGTTTTTTGATTACAAAATAGTGTAAGAAACCAAACTTAGTATAACATGTATACCTCTAAACTCAGTCTGAACTGAGTTACGAGCATCAAAAGTTTGATGATTTTCATACTAGATTTGCTGTTTGGGCGCAAGTTTTGTAAAAAATTGCAACAAAATAATGACATTGTATGTGTAAACAAACAATACCATCCATTAAAGGCTCCAGACATCAGTATGCAGCAGAATCAGCGCAATAAAAAAATAGCGCAATATTTTGTTGCAATTTCTTACAAAACTTGCGCGCAAAAAGCAAATCTAGTATGAAAATCATCAAACTTCTAATACTCGTAACTTACTTCAGACTGAGTTTAGAGGTATACATGCCATAGTAAGTTTGGTTTATTACACTATTTTGTAATTAAAAAACAAGGTTTGATCGATGGCCGCGCGAAAAAAAAAAGACGCCACCTTCCATACAAAATCTGGCATTGCCATTTAGGAGCCCGTCAGCTGAGTGACAGATTTGAGTAGTGTTTCAGTATTCGGCCGTAAGTTACTTAGATACAAAACAACTCTAATTCGGTGTTGCAAATTTTACAGAAAAAAACTTTTTTTATTTTGGACCCTAAGCTGGTTCGAAATAAACATAATTTATTTTTGTATTTCTTTAGATATCATGGATTCCATTTTAAAGGTAGACCTTATAGAAGATCAGATCTGGGGGGATACCTAAGTGGGTAAGTAATGTATTTTAATTTTAAAAAAACTTTCCTACTAAGCAAAGTGATTAAACTATGGTTTTTAAAGTTACTTCGGTTTATACTGCCTTCTACATATACTAGGTCTATTATTACATATTCTAACTAAATACTTATTTATACAAAAACAATGTCAAATTACCATTTTGTTCGAATTAATCGCCATACCTACTGACATCATAAATTCTTAGTCACTTATACCACTTATACGTGCACATAATCATGTAGTATTTTCATTTACAATAGAAGTTTATCGCGTAACCTAGAGCACATAAAAAAGCTAATAAAACAAATCGTAACAACAATTTTTATGCCATCATCAAGCATAATGAGAACCATTTATTTGATAAACCTTTTTTAGGCATTTCCTTGTCGTTCCAAGGAAGATTCGAGTAAAAGAATTTAAAAGATTCTGAACATTCCTGCATTTTCCAAAGGTAATAAATGGAGGAAGGCGAAACTCTTTTTATTTATGCGATAAAAATAGACGCTTTTATCGCTGGAAATTTTCTTTAGATGGAAAATTTCAGAACGTAATGCTTTGGGCTTTTCCAGATATTAACACAACTGTATTGTTAAGTGTTTCATATAATGTCATATTGTAATTCGGGATTATTAGACATTTAGTGGTTAATTACTTATCAACAGTGCCGTAACTAGGGCGGTGCCAGCGGTGCCCAGGCACAGGGCGCAGACCCTGGAGGGGCGCAGAAATGACCAGACCAAGCATTATTCAAGGGCGCAGTTTTGAAAGCTCGCACCGGGCGCATAAAAGGCTAGTTACGGCACTGCTTATCAATCAATCGCCATTAACCTAAAGCGACAAACGCGCGACAGATTCGCTGCCGAAAATTTCTAACATACAATAACGACAGCGGATGCAATCCTCAATATTGACTAATCCTATGGGTGAATAAGGACCACTTTGAAGATCATTAATGCATAAGGCTGTTGATCAGAAGACTTACCTCTCGGAGGGGCTGATGGCCAGGTTAGGAGGCTCTCTGCTGGCAGGCCGGGAGTCGTCTGGAGGGCCTGGCTCGCCCCCGCTGCTGCTCGTTTGTCGAGTCTGTGTACAAAAATAGCATTTGAGGATCATAAATATCATGAAGTGATTGTCTTTGTGCTTTTGGAAATAATATACTAGTAGGTATAGGTATGAACTTTGGTCAGTGAGTTTTTTCCCCTCACAAACGAAAAATCTGCTCACTCGGGAAAATTGGTTTCTAGTGCTGAAATATAGTAAAACAACCAGTTTAATAAGCAGTTAAAGTACTCGTAGGTATACTCGTACCTACCTACTATGCTAAAGCGTTAAGTATCTAAATTGAGTTGATAAACTGTAAAACTAGAGACTTACAAATTCGAATCGTAAAAATGCATGTTACGTGGAAAATCCGAAACAAGAAAAAACAAAAGAACATCGATATTGTCTGTCGAGAAACGAGCGCAGTTTTCTTGATGGCCAGTATCTTGCGGCCAACCAATGAGGATTGTGTGCAATAAAAAATACTAACAATCTTGTTAAAAAAAAAGATATTTAAGTATTGTGATTTCTTCCATTCCATAGAGCGACCAAAAATATACTCGTACTTACGATAAAAATTGATAAATTCCTTAAAAAAATATCAGGGTGTCAACTCACCATGATCCCTTTGAGCTGATTCACCAGCGGCGAATCAGCGAAGAAGTTGTTCACCGCGGAGAATATGTTGGCGCGTTTGTTCGTCTCGTCTGCGCGGGCGTTCCCACGCCCGCAACTGCTCTAGCAAAACACGAAAGTTAATTTGGACCTTAAGTTTACGGTATTTGGGTTTAAAATGATAAATATGTGAATCAGGCGTAAAGACAGCTCTAGCTAGCAGAACACTCAAAAGGTTTAAAAAATTTGTGATAAAGATAAAGATTTTTTTTTGCTCAAACATGTGTACATAAGGTGTTAATGTTAAGTGAATGTTTGTGCCTTAAGTTTAAGGCATTTGGGCATAAAATGATAAACATTTGTACTAATGTCGTACACAAGCAACCTCTTTAGCAGATCTCGAAAGTTAATTTGGACCTTTAATTGGATAAATACTACCTACTCTACTTTCAGTTCAGCCCTAAGGTTTACTGAAGGAGAATGCTAAATGACATTAAAGAAGAACGGTCACGCCCCATACAAAAAAAACCCAGACCCGACAGAAACGAGACATACCTCAGTTTTTTTGTCATGTCTTAATTAGTTAAATTATATATTTTTTATATTCGAAATCTATGTATAAATAACACCAAAATATTACCCTTTGTTTTTGTTCAGGCGTTATACAAAAACTAATACAAAATGCCTATTTATCACCAAAATTGATAAATGTATGAACCCTACTCCTAACTCTACATCGATCCATTCCAAGAACACAAGGGTGAGTCTAGCACACCTCCTAAAGCTGCCTTAAGGAGCTTATCTTAAGCTCTGACAACGACAACAGAAAGTCAAATACGTGCAATATGGAACTAATATTACAGAAGACTTTTGCTTGAAAGGTTTTCCCAGTATTAGGTTTTTAATAATTAATATTATCCCTTTTTCGATTTCTCATCTCTTGGGAATTAAAGTACTTTAGCTCCAGTAAATTGTCTATGATGCTACCACAAATTAACACTTCTATCTTATATTTATCTATACTTATAATAAATCTGTAGAGAGGTCAATTCTGTACATGAAATATATTTTCAAAATAACTATCAGGGGGTGATTAGTGATCGATACTGATGCCAAAAATGCAATCAGTAAAATTTTTGTCTGTCTGTCTGTCTGTCTGTCTGTCTGTCTGTATGTTCCTTATAGAAACAAAAACTACTCGACGGATTTTAACGAAACTTGGTACAATTATTCTTCATACTCCTGGGCAGGTTATAGGGGGGGGTGCGATTGTCTTTCAATCTTCGAATCGGTAGGTAAAACCCCAAAACCCTGGGGGGTACCAGGGGGTGCCTTAGGACTTATGACGGGGGGGAGGGGGGTGATCGCCCCGGGTGCCAACCCATGCTACGCCGCCACTGGCTCTTCTGTCAATTTTATTACATACTAGTTAAGTTCACAACTAGGTACGAGCAGAAGATCTTAATTCAAAAACCGGGGGACAATAGACGTTATAGTCGTTAACAAGAAGTTTCACAAAAGGATTAAACTATACGTGCACATAGTACTCGTACTGAATCTGCGCAGCTTTGGCGAAATTATATTATCGATTTGTCGAATGGATGAAAAGTTTATAAGATTTTATTTAACTAATTTGTAATCTTAAAAAAACACGACGAGGCTAATTCTCGCTTCCAATGGAAGTTCAGCGGCCTTATAATAAGTTTAAAATATCCAGAACACCCGTCCCTATTTACTCACGTATGTGCAAAATAATGGGAACCCTACTCCTAACTCTACATCGATCCATTCCAAGAACACAAGGGTGGATCTAGCACACCTCCTAAAGCAGCTTTAAGGAGCTTATCTTAAGCTCTGACAACGACAACAGAAAGTCAAATACGTGCAATATGGAACTAATATTACAAAAGACTTTTGCTTGCAAGGTTTTCCCAGTAATAGGTATTTTATAATTCATATTATCCCTTTTTCGATTTCTCATCTCTTGGGAACTAAAGTACTTTAGCCCCAGTAAATTGCCTATAATGCTACCACAACACACTTCTATCTTATATTTATAAAGAATAGAAAAGTAAATGGTCACAAAAACTCACATAATGAACCTTTTCATCACTCTTAACACAAACATAGCACAAAACCAACGGTCGATTCCAGAGAGAAAACTAGCAAAACTAAGAACTCGTGCATGCGAAAGTGTTAGAAAAACATCTTTAGTTAACATCATTTACGTTAGCTCAAGTAAACATTATAGCAAGGTATCTATTTTTAATTTCTGACTGATTGGTTAATCTCACGTTGTGTTTATTAGGAAGAACGGGGAAATTGTGGATTTTTGTGGTACAGTCGGACACACAAGACGTTGCAACCAAATATTGTGACTTTTATCTACGACGAGGAAGCTCTTGCATCTCACCTGATGGAAAGTGATGATCAGAACGAAGGTGGAAGCGAGCGTCACCCGGAATCCTCAACCACAGAGGAACTGGCTATCTTACCTCTACCACAGAATAGGTAATAGTAAGTACTCCTCTATGACAGAATAATAATAAGTACTTCGTACCTCCACTGTCGAAACTAAGTTGTTATGGCGACAGACTTAGGTAAGATTGTGGTAGCTAGATAGTTTGACACCTATTTTTGACGCATAACTGAACTTATAAAATCTGGGGCTATTGCATTAGAACTAGTTAACTATACTAGCATAATCACTAATCTGAACGTAATCCTATGTATGGCTGACCTATAACGTTCGTGAATACTACTCGTTTAAGATTCTACATAGAAAAAAATGTTTTAGTTGTTATTATGTACTGTATTTGCGGGCACAAAAACTAGATTAGTTTACAAAATAGCTGGCATAGCTTAGTCTCTCTAAATCATTGTTATGTCAATAATTTGAGACGTTTATAAAATCTATAACACTTGTGTTCCCAACTGTCCTCGCGTGTCTGCGTAACGAGAGACTCAAAATTAAGCTCTATGTCCATGGTAATAGGGACTATGGCCTTGTGGTTTAGACTAGACCCCGTGGGAACAAAAACAAACAAATTGGGTACGAACGTCTTCCATTGGTTTTATTTATCACTACATGCGTCTGTGTGTGGATTAAAAACATTTTCATTCATGAACAGGGTCAAAAAACTATTGGAAGTTATTTAATTTATGCAAATATGCTCTAAAAAGCGCTTACACGTACCAAGAAGATATTTCAACTTGAAAAAGGTATGCTTAAATGTTTCGAAATTGACTTTTATCGAAATATACCGAAGACCGTGACCGAAGTGTGTTAACACATCAAGATGTTATTGATGACTCTGAAGCATCCAAGGATAAAATTTTAGGGGCAATTCATCATTCATATCTGAATGACGTTCAGTAATAAAAAAAAGTATTATAATGTTGAGAATATCTAACTAGAAGACATGAAATATTGTGGCATTGAATTGTAGAATATTTTGTTTGAAAATCAACTACCCATTTACTAGCACTCAAAGATTAGATCAAATAAGAATAATTTTATTTAACAGCATTAAATACAATAATAAAACGCTCGCAGATTTTTCCAACATCGTTCTTTTCATCACAGGAATTCGTACGGACTACGGAACTACGGAAGCCGGAAATCAATGAGTTCGTAGCGCTACGAAATGAAAACATGGCACTACGGCTACGTGCTACGCGCTACGAGCCTGTAATAACGTAGTTTGAAAGTCATTTATTTTATTTACGAACTAAATGATTTATGAAGAACGGATTATACTAATAATTTTATTGGCAAGCAGTTCTTTGCTGTTATATTGAGTTGATGTCTATTACTCTAATATTTTAAAGAAGAAAGATTTGTATTTTGTAATTTTTTGTATGTTTGTATGGGATAGGTTCCGCAACTAGACTGATTTTAAAAATTCTTGCACAATTAGAATCCTCATTTTTTTCCAGTTTACCATTGCGAAGTCGGGGTTGGCCGCTAGTTCAGTCACAGAATCCTACTAGTCCTACTAATATTATAAATTCGGAAGTTTGTATGGATGTCTGGATGTTTGTTACTCTTTCACGCAAAAACTACTGAACGGATTTTGATGAAACTTTACAGTATTATTGTTTATAACCTACAATAACATATCTGACGGTCTGTGGCAAACTGAATTTCACAGCCGCGGGCAAAAGCTAGTAATATAATAAGTACTGGTTGAATATAAATATTCATGAGTTTTTATTGTCTACGCGTCGCATACGCTGTTGATGAATTTACGACATACGCTATCTCATGCATGAATTTACTACGAATATCATTGGATGAATAAAACACAAGACCGGTTGTTTAGAAATCCTTGAGGGAGACCTTCTTACAGCAGTGGACGTCTTCTAATCAAAAAGCTATCTTACGATTAGATAAATAGAGTGCAGAGTAGACAAAAGACAGTCGGGTCGGGTCGGGGTCAGAAACCTTCAGTTGACACCTTGGGCTGACAATCCCAAGGCCCCAAGGAAAAGCTATGCTGGCGCTATTGGGAACGGAAGGCAAATAGGAAATATTATAGGTGGTTTGGTGGTAATGGTTTCCTTCCTGGGGATTTTGTGGAGCCAGTGACAACATGTCAAATACTGGTCATTCTGACGACAAGGTAGTTGTATAATTATTGTCGTCACGATTTTTATTTTTCAATAAATTCTCTAAACTGGCGATTAAATTACAAAAAATATATTTGGCAGTTAAATACAGTGTCTGGATTTGAATTTGTGAAGTACCTACTTTGTGCCTATAGTCTACGATTGTACAGATGGCACATAAAAACTAAATATTGTGGCACATTTCCTAATAAAGTAAAATAAATAAATAAATTATTAAGTTTTGATAAAGCGATTTTACAACAAAAGAAGTGTGATGTCATGTCTGTTGACTGTACCACTATCTTTTGGTGACGATACCATAACGATACGAAACGTTCGTCGTTCGTCAATCGAAAGGCGTAAAATACTTCCTCGTAACTTTTTTCCTTAAAACCTTCACAGAATTCTATAGTGACGTGTTGAAATACGAACCGGAAACTCGAAATAATTTGGAAAAGTGCTTCGCTAGCAGTTGTTGGCTGAATAAGTGAATACAGAACCTCACGTAAATTCCGCAGTATTTATTTTTCTAAAAGCTTGAGAAGGAATTTCGTAAAATCCGATTAAAAAGATGTGGCTGTGTGTTGTATTAAATGATGATTATACAGTGTGAGTCACGTTAAAGTGTAAATATGAAAATAGATGAAACTAGACCTATTTTTATCGACAAAAAAGAGGTCAAAAATTTTTTGAGATTTTTTTTTAATTTTTTATAGAATTTTTTTTCTTCAAATTACTTATTGTAAAGAAAACGTAATAACTTTTAAACTAAGCGGTATATCCTGATAAAATAAAAACAGTAATAATGCTAAATAACAGGCAATACTAAAAAAATACATAAAATACAAAAAAAATGCCAATAAATAATAAAAAATTATACTTTTTGAAAAAAATCTGCTTTAAAATTCGTGTTATTTTGGTTATTTTATAAATTTCTCCAAAAAATGCCCCTATAACCGGTGGTTTTTATTACTTTGTATTATTTTCTATAGTATTATCTTTTTAAAACAAAAAATCGCATGTCTCTATCCCTATCACAACATTTGCTATGATCGTTTGANAGTCAATTTTATTATTTCCTTGGGGGGGGGGGGGGGGGCAATTAATGAGTTAGGGGTACGCTGTCACCTGGAAATTTTAACAGGGGTACGTGGTGCCAGAAGTTTGAGAAACCCTGCTCTAAATCATTGTTATGTCAATAATTTGAGACATTTATAAAATCTATAACACTTGTGTTCCCAACTGTCCTCGCGTGTCTGCGTAACGAGAGACTCAAAATTAAGCTCTATGTCCATGGTAATAGGGACTATGGCCTTGTGGTTTAGACTAGACCCCGTGGGAACAAAAACAAACAAATTGGGTACGAACGTCTTCCATTGGTTTTATTTATCACTACATGCGTCTGTGTGTGGATTAAAAACATTTTCATTCATGAACAGGGTCAAAAAAACTATTGGAAGTTATTTAATTTATGCAAATATGCTCTAAAAACGCTTACACGTACCAAGAAGATATTTCAACTTGAAAAAGGTATGCTTAGATGTTTCGAAATTGACTTTTATCGAAATATACCGAAGACCGTGACCGAAGTGTGTTAACACATCAAGATGTTATTGATGACTCTGAAGCATCCAAGGATAATAGGGGCAATTCATCATTCATATCTGAATGACGTTCAGTAATAAAAAAAAGTATTATAATGTTGAGAATATCTAACTAGAAGACATGAAATATTGTGGCATTGAATTGTAGAATATTTTGTTTGAAAATCAACTACCCATTTACTCGCACTCAAAGATTAGATCAAATAAGAATAATTTTATTTAACAGCATTAAATACAATAATAAAACGCTCGCAGATTTTTCCAACATCGTTCTTTTCATCACAGGAAATCGTACTGAACTACGGAAGCCGGAAATCAATGAGTTCGTAGCGTTACGAAATGAAAACATGGCACTACGGCTACGTGCTACGCGCTACGAGCCAATAACGTAGTTTGAAAGTCATTTATTTTATTTACGAACTAAATGATTTATGAAGAACTGATTATACCTATATAAAGGATGGTGCCAGGGTCTGGACCAAGTGCTGCCCAGAATCAACCCATAGTGCATTTTGTTCCTCAGACCAATACTAATGTGTAAACCGAAGTGCACTGAAATCTATCCCTGGAGTTAAGAGAAAAAAAGAGGTTTGTTTTGAATTATTTACATACAAAATATCATCGATGTATACGTACTACGCATAAGATTTCGCGATTTTGGCATTAAATAACACTCGCTATGTTGAACTTAACCATACTGCATCCGTACACTTTACTTTAGTGCGACTTAGACATTATTTATAAGCAATCTAGAGCTGTTGCAGTAGTTTGGTTAGTTGACAGAAATCATTATTTCCAAAATGAAGTAAGAAGTTTTAGTTCTCTATCCTTGCGAAAAATCAATTTATTGGTGTATTAGAATCGATTATTGAAGTTATTGTAAGCTAAAACTTCTTGCTTCATTTTGGAAATAATGATTTCTGTCAACTAACCAAACTACTGCAACAGCGCTAGATCGCTTATAAAGAATGTCTGTCGCACTAAAGTAAAGTGTACGGATGCAGTATGGTTAAGTTCAACATATCGAGTGTTATTTAATGCCAAAATCGCGAAATCTTATGCGTAGTACGTATACATCGATGATATTTGGTATGTAAATTATTCAAAACAAAACTCTTTTTTTCTCTTAACTCCAGGGATAGATTTCAGTGCACTTCGGTTTACACATTAGTATTGGTCTGAGAAAAAAAATGCACTATGGTTTCATTCTGGGCAGCACTTGGTCCAACTTCCATACATGGATTGGCACTGTCCTTTTTGTACATTTGTATTTAATATTCTAGTAGTTTACTAGGCTGATTTTAAAAACTCTTTCACCATTACAATCCTCCTTTTTTTTCTGAATAATATTTCTGAAAAACATAGGCACATAAAAATACCTATTCTACCCGTGCGAAGACGTGGTGGTGGGCCGCTAGTTGAATCACAGAATAATAATAAATATTCATGTGTTTTTATTGTCTACACTCCCTATTGATGAATTTACTACATGAGGTATCTCATGCATGTATTTACTACGAATATCATAGGACGTAAAAAAAAAGAAGCGCTTAGATGCGGATACAAGACTTGTTAAGAAATCTTTGAGGGAAACCTTCTTAAAGCAGTAGACGTCTTCCAATTACATCATTCAATTAGTTAAATATAGTGCAGAGTAGATAAAAAACTAGTCGGGTCGGGTCGGGGTCAGAAACCTTTGGGCTGACAATCCCAAGGCCCCAAGGAAAAGCAATGTTGAAGCTATTGAGAGCGGAAGGCAAATAGGAAATGATATAGTGGGATTGGTGGTAATGGTTTCCTTCCTGGGGATTTTGTGGAGCCAGTGACAACATGTCAAATACTGGTCATTCTGACGACAAGGTAGTTGTATAATTATTGTCGTCACGATTTTTATTATTCAATAAATTCTCTAAACTGGCGATTATCTCTAAACTGGCGATTAAATTACAAAAAATATATTTGGCAGTTAAATACAGTGTCTGGATTTGAATTTGTGAAGTACCTACTTTGTGCCTATAGTCTACGATTGTACAGATGGCACATAAAAACTAAATATTGTGGCATATTTCCTAATAAAGTAAAATAAATTATTTAGTTTTGATAAAGCTATTTTACAACAAAAGAAGTGTGATGTCATGTCTGTTGACTGCTATCTTTGGTGACGATACCATAACGATACGAAACGTTCGTCGTTCGTCAATCGAAAGGCGTAAAATACTTCCTCGTAACTTTTTTCCTTAAAACCTTCTCAGAATTCTATAGTGACGTGTTGAAATACGAACCGAAAACTCGAAATAATTTGGAAAAGTGCTTCGCTAGCAGTCGTCGGCTGAATACAGAACCTCACGTAAATTCCGCAGTACCTATTTATTTTTCTAAAAGCTTGAGAAGGAATTTCGTAAATTCCAATTAAAAAGATGTGGATGTGTGTTGTATTATAATAATGATTATAGGTATTTATCTTTATTCAAAAACCCTATCTTATAGATTTTCTACAGAATTTGATTTGTCACAATCGTGTAATTTGAGTAGGTACATGGTTATAATAACGAGAAAATTATGACCAGTGAGTGCGTCATAGTATGATATATTCTGACATAAACATTACTATCTTATAGTCTAATCTTCTAGTTATCTTTTTCTACTCCACCTTTTAAATAAATAAATGTATCGTTAACAAAGTTATTAGGTGCTGGTTATTTGTTTAAATCTTCAGTTCTAAGGTTATCTGTTACATACTAGAGTGTAATAATTATGTGCCAATATTATGGATGATTTAAAATTAAAAATTTGAACTATAATGTCTATAAGGTAGATAAATAATAAACCGATTGAGTTGTAAATAAATAATAATGAGAAGAGCCTTCACACTCTAGAGTTCTAGACATAGAACACCCATGAATATACATAATATTCTTCTATTCTTGAAAAATCTCATATTTTTTATGTACATAAAACAGAAGACATCCTGAAAGTAACTTTGTATTAACATATGAACATGTGTCTTTGGAACTGAATATAGAGATAGGACACGATAATAGTTACGTTTAGGAAATATAACAATCAGACGACAATATGTAATAAAAGGCTATCAGAAGGTACAAAGTAACATATTATGTGTTGTGTAGTCGGGTGAAAACAATGAAAACATAAAGAAGGGAGTGGGCGACCCTTTGAAGTTGCACCTAGCATATTTTCTCTATGACAATAGATATCTATTACTACATATTCAAGTAAAGACCTATTAATATTACTTTCAACAACATAATAGTTCTGATAAAAATCAATTACGGAAACGTTATTAATTAATATGAAAAAAAAAAAACATTTGGCTTGAAGTTCTGTAATACAATAATAATTACAGCTTACAGCGCACTGAATACTCAAGTCATGACTGCCAATATGAATTTAATGAAACCCAACTGCATTTGAATTGCAAATCTCGTGAATTCGGTCATTTGGTCAAACAATACCCATGTAACATCACTCAATACTAACAATTTATTGCCTCTGCCTGAAAACCAATTTTAAAAATAAAATATTGAGTGTTTTTAATCTATGTCTTACCTGTTTTTAAAAATTGTTGCACAGATTTTTAAGTTGGCACAATGGTTTGCGTTTTGGCGCGAACTAGCGGTGAGGAGGTTGGGTCGGAACTGACGAAGGATGCTGGAGGAGCCAAGCGATCGCGCATGCGTACACTGCTGCGAGTTTAAGGTGGAGTGCTGTTGGTACGATTTTTCAGCAGTCACATAAAGCCTTCGATACATGAGTCTGCAGTTGTATTAATGGTTACAGTAGGATAAATGGAAAAGCTACTTGGAATGTCGCACATTGTGGTCTCACATGATCTCTCATTGGGATCTAGCAACAAGTTTCACCCGTGTTTCAAGTCCCAACAGCAGTTGCAGTGTCTCGTTCTTAGATTGAGCATGAGATGTCATGATGAAGGCCATGATCCACTTGCAAATAAGTAGGTATCAATCAACCAACAATGGAGGTATAACATTTCTAATAGACTAAGAGCTAGTGAACGCCAGACCTACGTTATTTTATAAAGGCTGAAAGTTTGTCAGCGCATGCTCCCAACATAGCTAAGAACCATGGCCAAACATGAAGTTTGGGTCATGGTGGCTTTGGCAGACAGACGGTACTAAAGGTGTGTAAAATACCTACTTAATTACGTCAAAGTATAAAGGCTGATTTTTTGATATTTACTTCAAAATGTTATTAGAAATGACGTCATTAATTGACAGACACCTACCATGGTGCCAGCCCTTAGCCAGACGCCTTAAAGTTCATGAAAATGTAGTCCTACTTACGTCATACTATAAAGGCTGATATTTACATAAAATATTTGAACTATCATTTGATGAAGTTTCCTCATCAGCCAGACACTTCTGATGGTTCCTTCGCCTTGCCAGACAGCTTTTAGGGTGGCTGAAAGTGCGAACGCGAGGCACTGTAATTATTGTTTTTTGTACTTTTTCTTATGTTACTCAAGTATTTGAGTCTGTAAATCATCATCTCATGTTGATGAGCTGATGATGGAAGGTACGTACAACTCCTTAAGGCTTAGGTAATCCCGTATTTTAAAGTGATTACCTCTGAAAGTTGCCTAGAGTAAAGTTCTTAGCAACATTATCATTACCTATGTTAATGCTAATGTTGCTAAGAACATTCCTCTAGGCGTTTAGCAACTATTTTGAAGATAAAATTTGTGGCACCACATTTTCCGCGTATATAAATTCTAGTGAGTATTTGGGGGTTCTAATTCAATATAGAATTGTTATAGTATTATTTGATACTATACATTTGATTATACTATGCGTATAGATATATCGTGATGGTTACGCTGGTAGGATACTCTGCAGCGCAACCACTTTCAATAACAAAATACGGCGAAACCTGTGACATCATTTTTTTTAAATAGGACTAGAATTTTATAGACATTTCAAAGATTTATTTTAGAAACTTACACTAGACTAGTTAAATCAAAAGTAGTTCCGCCGTGGGAGCATGACGTGAATTATCCTACAACTCCTAAGCGTTATGGAGTTGTACCTTCCATCAACATGGGATGATGCTAGCTGATGCAAACACCCAAATAACTTTAGAAACTATACTTATATATACTGGTTAAGGAATTGTCCTCCAACTCCTAAGCCTTAAGGAGTTGTACTTACCTTCCATCATCAGCTCATCAACATGAGATGATGATTTACAGACTCAAATACTTGAGTAACTTAAAAAAAGTACAAAAAACAATATTTATAGTGCCTCGCGTTCGCATTTTCAGCCACCCTAAAAGCTGTCTGGTAAGGCGAAGGAACCATCAGAAGAGTCTGGCTGATGAGGAAACTTCATCAAATGATAGTTCAAATATTTTATGTAAATATCAGCCTTTATAGTATGACGTTAAGTATGACTACATTTTCATGAACTTTATGGTGTCTGGCTAAGGACTGCCACCATGGTAGGTGTCTGTCAATTAATGACGTCATTTCTAATAACATTTTGAAGAAAATATCAAAAAATCAGCCTTTATACTTTGACGTAATTAAGTAGGTACTTTACACACCTTTAGTACCGTCTGTCTGCCAAAGCCACCATGACCCAAACTTCATGTTTGGCCATGGTTCTTAGCTATGTTGGGAGCATGCGCTGACAAACTTTCAGCCTTTATAAAATAACGTAGGTCTGGCGTTCACTAGCTCTTAGTCTATAAGGGCTCGTTCCCACGGCTATCAAGTTTTGCGGGGTCCTGCATTACTGGATCAAACAAATGGGTGTTTGAAATTCGAATTCAAAATTCGAACGGATCGGCTTTTTGCGGAACACTGTTAGAAAACAGTAGGTATACTACTTTCAACGGGATCCTGCAAAAACAGAATATCAGTGGGAACAAGCCCTTACAGTTCGATCACCTAAAAGCTTTGGTGGTTTAGTCTAACACAAGTGTTGCGGTGCACTGGTCCCCCGGTTCTGCTGTTTCAGCAAATAATTAAAAGAAGTCATTGTTTCATGAAAGTCTCAGATCCATAAAAATAAAACGCATCAGCGAAACTCCTTCCTAACCAGTGCTTAAATATAATGTGTAAGCAAAATATACATCGTGTAGATACAGCAACAGTGTGAAGGGGATCCAGCGGCACCACTCCGCTCGGGTGGCCAAGCTAATACTAATAACACGGATAATCTTTATACCTACGTAATAAATAAATCATTGTAAGCCTCGTGCTAGACAATACAAGCACACACAGGTATAGAGTAGGATGACCAGCACACAAAGACCGCGATTCTATCATCGTATAGATGAATAAACGTTTAGGATGTGCCTAATTTATTTATTTATATTTAAGGTCATATTAATTGGTACCTAAGGCGAACTTAATGCCTTTAGGTATTCTCGGCCATTCTTCTCGCATCGTATGTTCTCGTCGAGTATTACATTACTCAATCACATACCTACCTAAAATGAAAAAGTAAGATGCAAGAAATAGCCTGAAAATTCCAAAAATTATATAGCCTTGGTCAAATTGGGTCATAATTATGTCAGTTCGCTTTTACACTTGTTAGTTTCGTACCATTAGTTGAAAATAAAACAATATAACGAAATAACTGTGGTCACACTACATCCATATTCGAGTGGATAAGACGTTCAGGTTCAGTTATAAAATGCAAAGACTCCTCGTTTGATTGCCGACGAAATGTTCGGAGTACAAACATTCAAATATTTTGTTTCGTTATTTCCAGAAATGTCTTGTTTTAGCCCTTTGAGCTAAGACTAGCCTTTTCCCCGTGGCTCCGCTACTAATTTTCAGGCAACTGCTGAAAATTAGGGTCATATTAATAACAATAGTAGCTCTTTTATCACTTTGGGTTACAAGTTTAATTTAAGCTTTTAAGTTTACAGCCTTTTACTAACCTTTCACATAAAATCTATTTCCGTTATAGGTTTACTTATTTTTAACTGTAGGTACCTACTAGGTATAGTTGAATTAACTGTAGGCTTATGAATCAATCGGGTGATTGTATTTTTTTTCTAAAAGAAGTTATAAATTGCATACAGTAGGTATTTGGTCACCAATAGTTACTATTTTGTATTTAAAAATAATCATCACTACTTAGTGGCATAAGAATTTCCAGTTCTCGAGTTCCTCTTCCTACCAAGCATGCCCAAAAATAACTAAAATATGGGGGCGCCTTGCTTTATCTATCATAGCTACCCGTATTACGTTTACGCCTACAGATTAAGAAATAAAACTAATCATATTCATTAAATTACATTCTGAAGCGTATGCTCAATCAGAGGGGACAATACGCCCCGATTCCCTATTCCCTATTATTTGCTTTCATTTTCATTGTTCGTTCCATTCACGTTCCGTGTGACCTAATTGTCAGATTCCAAGAGGGTGAACTGCAAATCTGCATTGACCGGGGAAAGAGATGGGGAGATGAATGTGTGCTAAGCAAGAACGAGACAGATGAGGCGTAGTGATGTAGCGTGATTTTGAGATACCGACACTGTGACTGTGACTGGTGTAGATACCTAACCTTGTTTATCAAAGTAATTATCTGTATAGGTAATAGTCTAAGATCCCGATTTAAAACGACCTTCACCGAGATGCTTATTTGATGAAACATATTTTATATTCAATTTAACATGTTAATAATTATATTGCATATGGGTTGCCTAATAAATTTCAGTCCCGGATAATATGATTAATTAATAATTAAAAAAAGATTTTTTTTAAATATTTCAACGGTTTGACTATTAAGAAATTCCATACCAATCGAAAGTATGAAGCCCATAGAATATGCAAACGTTAGGTTGCCTATTCTTTTCCAGTCATAACTCTCGGGTTGCCAGGTATAAACAGGTAAATTGATAGTAGCATTTTGCACCGGTCTGATAATAATCAAATTTAAATGAAAATAAAGATTATTTCATTATGAACACGGTGGTATAGGGTTGCCTACGAAAAATCAGTCTCGAATTTTGAAAAGTGAAATATCCTGAACTGAAATTTATTAGGCAACCCATATGCAATATAATTATTAACATGTTAAATTGAATATAAAATATGTTTCATCAAATAAGCATCTCGGTGAAGGTCATTTTATATCGGGATCTTATACTACTTTTATTGGACTATCTAATTAGGTACTCAATTTATATTGGAAGTTCTGCACTTTTACATTTGTATTTAATAAAGATTTTTGTTGTCTATTTTTTACTTATTAGCAGTAATCTTACTAATCTATTTATATTGTGTAATCATCATTGATCATTAAGTAATAAGTAGGTTATGATGCCATCGAGATCAAAGTTCAAAGATATCTCAATTAGGTAGGTCTGAATCTATTGTGTCGAAGTGTAACAATAAGATAATCGTGCATCACAGTCACAGTGTGATTCATGCAGTATCGCTGCCACATCACTACCAAGGTCGGTTCAACGAACCGTTCACTCGTTCTCCCGTTCCATTCGGTCACACATGCGCGCTCAACTTTGCCGGCCGGCGTCCGCGAGTACTCATTCTAGTTTTAGCCGGTACCCGGTGACTACATTTATTTTTTTACTCAACGATCTTAGTTAAAAAATTCAAAAATGGAATTCGTCGGCAAGAAATACAAAATGATCTCGTCCGAGAACTTCGACGAGTTCATGAAGGTGCTTGGTGAGTGTCTTTTAGTTTTTACTTTTTTATTTTAGTCGCGA